CTGTCAGTCAGTTCATCTGTCAGTCAGTCTACCAGTCAGTCAGTCATTCAATTGGTCAGTCACTAAGTGAGTCACTCAGTGAGTCAGTCAGTCAGTGGTCAATTAGTCAGTCAGTCGCTCAGCTAGTCTGTTGACAGTCAGTCAGTCAGTTGTCACTTAGTCATCAGTCAGTCAGTCAGTTGGACAATCACTCTTTGGTGTGTCCCTAGTTCTACTAGTCAACCCCTTTGTCAGACTGTTATCATTCTACCAGTAGGTCAGTCAGTCACATTGTCAGTCAGCCAGTCATCAGTCTGTCAGTTGGTCATTAGCTATCATGTGAACACTAAGTTAGCCTGTCGATAACTTAGCTATTCATATTAGCTATTTCTCTGTGTGACCCTTGGTCAGCCTGTCAATCCCTTCTCAGTCTGTTATCAATCAAAGAGACTTTTATCATACACCATCAGACAGCTATATGACCATCATGTAAGTCAAACAGTCACCACACATTCATTTGAATAGCCTCCAGTTTTCATAACTTCCAACTTTGGAATTTATGGTTTCTACAGAAAAATGCCTCTTCCACTGACCTAAAATTATATGCAGGGCTGAAGTAATAGGATCATTATTTCCAGTTGTGCAGAAAGCAATAGCATCTGTTGACCCTATGATAAAATATAGAAATACAAAAATTTTACAAAACTAATAAAAACAGAGAAACAACACTTAAACTACTTCAAGTGTCAATATTACAGATCTCTTATTGGCTCACTTTTCTCAATGCCTCAACCCTTTAACTCCCATGAGTGACCAAGACAGAACTTCTCCTTACAATATTAATACAATATCAACCAGATTAGTGATGAGAAGAAATAATAATATCAATTTGGGGATAATTAGTTGATCCAATACTAAATTCCCTGAACTAACTTTATAAGAATTGTGTGGTTGACAGCAAGGAGGGTTTAACTTACTCCCTGGTGGGGAAATGCTTGTGCCACAGTAGTGATAATGAAGACCAACTTGTACGCTAATTTATCTTACGCTGTAGATGATTTTAGGGATAAATTCTTATCCTGACCTCTCAATCTTGGGTTCAATGCATTGATTCATGAGTCACCTTGTCTGTCATGATCAATTACAGCAACTGGAAGATATTTGACTCACCTGCAGGTATGATACCTATGGGAATATTTAGTGGTACAGGTTGGAAGTTATGGGATGTTGAATCCAACATGGCATCTTGTTGAGCTCGAAACAAAAGTCCGTTCAAGACTTCATGGAACATACCGTCTCCACCAACAGAGATGACACTAAAAAAAAAAAAGGAGCAAGTTAATCATAATTCATGGTTTCTCTAAAAACAAAATATAAACAAGAACTTCTGAGGGATGTTATTTTTTACCAAGTACTTCCTTCAATTGAAATTCAAAAAACATTTTATGATTTCCCTAGTGTGAGAAAATACACCATATTTACTTTAACTTGCTTTAAAAACCCTAACCTAATGCAAGGTAGAACACAACTCTGTACCCTGTAACCTTGTAAAGAACAGTGGTGAAGCTTAGGATAGAAACCTAACCTGGAAGCTTGTGACATGACCATAGCAGTTTTATTTAATTTGGCTTAAAATCTTTTTTCATTTTTTTTTAGTTATTACGTATTACACTTACCCATCAATTTTCTCCAATCCCTCTTTTAAAAGGTAATCTTTTGCATGATTTGCTCTCTGAGTAACTGAATAAAACAACAAGTAAAATATTATAGAATCATGATCAATTGTTATTTTCATTGTTCTCATTCTCGTTATTATCATCACCATTATTGTTATCATCAGTATTATTAATATGATCATTATTATAAGGCCTTTGACTTTAAGAGAGACTGGTCTCTAATTTATCATTATCAGTATCACCCTTGAAACAATTGGAAAAGTCATGAGAATATCAGAAATGATCACCAATCTAAGAAGTTCCTGATTGTCAAATGATTTCTCCTTGTCAGTATCATAGGAAATGTAGAAAGAACAGTTTGAAGAATATGCATACCAATGTTGAGGTGTTAATCATTAGAAATGAGTACAAGCAACTACACCTGTAAAACTTCAGCCTACAAAAAGACACAATATATGCTACTGGTTTGTACGCGGGGTTAATACTAATCAAAAATGTGATTTAAAAGTATTCAAATAATTCTATACATACTACTTTAGTGCAAAGGAATTGCACATTCTACACTTTGCTATATACTCACCTATTAAATCAACCTTGATGTTGGCTAGTTCAAATAATGGTTGCACCTGCTCTGTGTATATTTTACGACCTAATTTTCTTCCCCCAATTGGATTGATAAAAACCAGCAATCTTTTGGGCCTGTTAAAACCTGCATAGAGAGATTTGAAAAAAATTGAAATGTATATCAACTTAAATATAGTAATAAACCCCTTTTAAACAAAAACATTTGCTCTTGATTCCCTTTGGAAAAAGGGACAATAAGAATGATGGACACTGAGAAAGACTGTAAACAACTCTGTAGGGAAATTACATTTCATGATCAACAGTTATAATAATTTTAGAGCCTATTAATGTTAATACAGCTCATGAATACCTGAAAGAATGCTCTGTATACTATCAACCCATTCTTCACACAAACATTCATCATGGCAGTCGAACACAAACACTTTCTCTCTCCATTTGTGTTTCCTTGTTCTCTTGACAGCATAAACACAGAATGAGGAACTTTTAAATGAAGCTAACTCAATTTCTCCTTCTGTGGACTGCACAGTCTTTATTTTATGAGGCACAACTGCAAAGACCTCAGACAAAGATAAGGTCTTCTTGAAAAAGGCATTACCTGAAAAACAAATATCCTATGACCTCAATCAAAGCTACTTAATCGTTGATAAAATCATAACCAATGACATTGAAATGCCAGTACTGTTACCAACATTAGTCATACAAAACCAACCAAGCATTATTATTACAGGAAACTTCCAGAGATTCCTTCTCATTTCATTAGTACTAGTACATGATCTTATCTTATATTATTAGCAGGCAAAGACGTCAGAGAAGTCTGATTTAATCAATACTGTATTTCTTGTCATGGCATTTATCAGTTTTGTGTGTGTGTGACTTTTAATAAGCAACAGTAGGTGCTCTGAAGTATAAAAGCCCACGTCTTGTGAGACATTTTGGAATCTTATGGACTGACTAGAGACATTAAGAGTGGAGGCAGACTTTTACTGATACTAAAAACAAACTGATTCACGCAAAAAAATTTTCTGTATGTTCACTAAGAACTATTTTTTTAAGACTCAACTCTTGAGATGCAAAACCCGATCCCAAAAATATTCCAGTACAATGCTATAGTCAGACATACATTCGAGATAATCTTATTGATATTGGGATAAGTCCTTGCAAGTCGAGCTATCACCATGGAAAGCGTTTTTTTAATATAGCGACATTACTTCATATTACGTAGCATTAAAATAGGTTCATTGCAATTTCCTCTGAGGTGAAAAACTAGGACAAACTTAGTTAATGATCGTATCGTCAAAATCGGCAAAAAGTAAATAACAATCAGATTTGTTTATTTTCATGAACTAAGTCCATTGAACGCAACTTGAATTCGAACTCGCATCGACGTTTTAACAGGAAATCTCCTCAGTGCGCAAAACCATTTGATTCATACAGAGTTTAATATTGTGAAATCATCATCACCATATGGGCGAACGAGGAACTTAAAGATATAAACTAATCGATTTTGCAATCAATCAGCACAGCTGAATCGCGCGATGAAGCTTGAAAAAAAAATTATGATCTTCAGATTACAACAGACACACGCGATGAAAACATTTCAAGATTTTCTCACCAAGTCCAGATTCTTCTATACCCACATGTCCCCATGAAATAGATGTGCCTGATAAAATAACGTCAAAGGACTTGCCGTCAACATCTAACACTGACCGCAACAAAACACAGCCGTCCGCCATGTTTATTTCTTTCTCTGAAGAAAAGGAACTAGTTTCCAGTTCTTCAGGTTAAGCCGGTACAGGAAGGTGAAAATGCTACGTAAGAGGGCGGGTGGAGTGGATGGGGGAAATATAGCTGTTACGGATCAGTTAGCGAAAAAAAAATTAAAGGAAAAAAATGGAAAAACGTCTATGAGTGTGATTCTAACTGGGCATTTACATTTTGTACGGTTTCCTATTTGATTTCTTAAGCTCCTTGTTCCTGACCGGGTTAAAATCTTTGTACAAAAAAACATGCCATGATCGGGGGAGATTTTGAGGTTTACGTTGCCCGGTGGAAAACGCGCCACGCGGATGTATTTGAAGGAGGGTGTGGGGAGGGGGAATCTAGAAACAACTCGAAACCACTGCTCTTAATCTGTTGAGATCTTAATTTCCGGCTCATTTTCTAACTTTTCCACAGCTCTAATTCTGCTTGATCATGTATTTGAACGGGACTCAAGAAGGACCTGCTGAACATAGTTTAAGCCGAGATGGGTGTGCGAGTTTAGAGAAAATCTAGGTGGATGTCGGGCAAACTTCTTAAGTAGAAGGAGAACTGGGAATTAATTGAAGATAACTTTTAATTTCCTACATTAAATTAAATATTTCGTCAACCAAAATGAACACGCAATTTTCAACCATAATTTGGTGGCGGATCACTTGATGGTGAAATCTTAATTAGACTATTTTCCGACTCAAGGGCCGCCGGGGGTGAAAAACATATCCTTTGACACAGCATACTTGCTATAACCTTGGTGGCGCATTTTTAGATGTTTTCTTTGAAGCAGGTCAACCGTGGGGTATATCTAGCTTATATTTCACATGCTGAGGGACTAAGATCAAGAGTTATCCCGAGTAGGACGTGAAATTTGCTGGTACTTCCTTTCACCGGGCAACATTGGCTTGATAATTGATCACAAATTTCTTTGAAAAGTGTAACGTCCAATCAAAATGCTTTTAAGGCAGCTAGCCTGAAAGGTGTTAATCGCCCTGCTCACAATGTATTATGGGTAATACAACATGGCGATTTCAGGGGTAAGCGGCTTGTCTAGCGTTTCCCAAACATGACTTATAAACAAAGAAAAGAGCTCCTTTCTCCATCATCGGAAGGTACGAAATATTAGTTTATCTTTTTATTTCACTTTCACTTTCTATAATGACTATAATCAGGTCGTGGATTTTTATATTTGTGCATAGTACGGGGCGGTGCTTCTAGAATTTCGCTCGCTGTAGTGTCAAAAAAAAATTTTTTGCCTGGCTAATCGCTCCCTTCTACTGTCCGTTAGCAGGAAATGACACTTGCACACACCCAGAGAAGTGCGGGAAGAAGCAATTAAACATCGACAGTTCAATCTGCTTTGTTGGTTTTTACATCAGAAGGATAACATGACAAAATAAATTTTTGTAGGTTTTGTTGAATTACTGTACGCCGTCGCGTATAGTGCCTTTAAATTAATACCCGGCAATTAACCGATTCGTCTCTACATTTGGAAAGCCTAGAGGAGCGTATAAAATATCTTTTGAATCTAACAATACCGTAATTCAACTTATTTATTCTCGGATGGACTGGAATTTCCGAGACGCAGCAATTGTGAAGTGTAGTTTGCAGTAATGTGATTTTTTCTTCATTTGTAGACTTTGACGACGTGGTTCAAGTTGTTATGTGAAGTTGAAGTCAATCTATGGCGTAAAGCTGAGTATTTTTACCCAGGAAATGAGGAGAATCAAACGAGCTCTCTCACTCAAAGGCAAGGGAACAGATGATACACTTTCCGAACTTGCGGAGCAAATGTCATTTGATGTGAACGGCAAAGACAATGGTGGGTTACATTTAGCTTTCATGTAGATATATTAACCTTTCGTCTGTACCTAAATTATTTCGAAATTGATGCTCAGAGAACTTTGAACATAATATTTGTAGTTCAAACAGATCACTTCTACTCATTAAGCCTGCGATTTTATTGGCCATGGGTATTTTGCCCACTCCACACCGCAAAATATTGGTGACATTTTAGCCGATGTTGTCTCGATGTTTTTACTAACATGTTTGACGGTAGCTCGCGATTAATACAGATCCAAGTACTTAGCCAGATATTTCCTCCCCTTTTAAATATGCTAAGTTAAAGTATATTATTGATCCAGTGCGTAAATAACATTATAGTTAGCGGCCTCGTATATGATTTTGCATCAAGTCTATCAAACGCGAAAAGCTTTGATCTCGAAGTCGTGTCTGTAGTTTTTGTTAACAAGCAGAAGAATTGAGTTTGCATTATGTTTACAGGATAAACGCTTGAATAAACAGAACACTGATTTTATTTCCTTTTGGCGTGTTATATTTACATGATATCCAGTCTCATTTGAATGATGCATAAGCGAATCTCGTGTCTTCAGATTTTTTCTCATTCGTTGTACTGAACATTCGCTCACGGAAAACGAACATACTCCGGCTGAAATTTCCCATTTTTCTGTTATTAACATATTACTTTGTCAATATTTGCCGGATACTGATCACCCTTTAGTGAGCCGTAAAAGTAATAATCTGACTGTATTGTCAGTTTTACGAGAAGACAGATTCTTTCGTGTTTACAAAGGTTAAAGGTGTTTGACAAAATTTACATGTCAAACGAGTGTTCTAATTGCGAACTTTCTTCATGCTTTGTGAATTTGTAGAATGTAGCTGCTATGTGATCTTGGTCAAATGTGCCTCACGGTTTCGATTGAAGAAGATTAAGCATTTGCTTAAAGCTAACGTCAATTTTGTTACACTATGTCAATGACTTCCTTTCAGATATGATAAACATTTAAATCTACAGCATTGTGAGAGAATTCTCGATGCGAAAAGCTTTTTCAACAGCTTTGCGTCTCCTTTACATAAAAGTCTCTTGATTAACTTGATGGTTAGAAATAAATAATTTATGTCTGTGGTTCAGGAATAGTTTATTTGTACAGATGTTTTTCTAGCAGCAATTTTTTTGAGATAAGATAGCATATTCTTGGGCATTTTTATAGAAGCAACTTGGAAAATATACTTCATGTTGTATAACATTTCCTCTGATTAATTATACATTTTGAAGATTACAGCAAGTAGATACCAAGAAATGTTTATTTTCAAGTATTTCTTACAAAAAATATTTATCTTCTAATGCATTTTTAAATCTTCCTAACCCTGTCTTTTTCTTTGGGTCAAATTTTTTTTGAAGTCATATTATTTTGTACAGAACCATTGAATACTGCTGATAAATAATAACTAAATTTGTTTCTCTCTGGACAATTAGATTTTTTCTTGTGTTAGATAAAGTTACACACTTCAATTTACTTTTTACTACATAAAAAGGTTTGTTTTACAGTATGTTTCATTTGTGGTGTTACCGCAAAGAGTGCACCCCCAATTAAGCTAAGTTGTGTATTTTGAAGAAAAAATATTGACAAGGGCTATACTTGAAAAAAGTGCCTTACTTAGTTGTGTTTGATTCAAAATATTTACCTCGAGAGGGAGTGCTGAGTTCACAATCTAGAGTGATTTCTATTTTTTTGTATACATTGTTCAGGGTGATCACTAAGCACTTAGTCCTGGCAAAATTCACCAAGCAATTGCCAGTTGGATTTTTGTCTGGTGATCGCTTAGTGAGGCACAATGGACACTGCTATGGTTACACACTTGCAATTATTCACCATCTTTAAGCCACTTCACTTGAAATTTCAGGCGGGTGTCTAATTTCTTAAATGCAACCCCGATTGTTAGGGATTCTGTTGAGTCTTTTTGGGGAATGTTTTGACCAGGAAGTTCAAACATTTGAGTTTGTTGTTCTTGATCAGTGTTGTGTTGAAATGACTGTTTGAACAAAATAAAGAAACAGAATGATTACTTGGTCATGAAAATGCAAAACTCCTTCAATGACATCATCACTCAAAAATGAAAAAAAAAATTTTTTTTTTTTTTCGAGAAACTCCTAAGTTTTCTTTTAGATTGAATAAAATAATAATCATTATTCACTTGAGTGTTAAGGTAAGAATAATACCTTTTGAGTTAAGAAGAATACCTTTTTCGAATGAGTATATTCTTTTTTACCTGGAGGGTATTTATTTTCTATAAGCTCTGTAGGATATTAATCATTATCATCGACATTGAAGTAGCTCTTTTTGCTCTCAAGTACTTGAATTTTCTGAAATTTGAGTGTTTGTTTTTTGAGTTAATTTGACTTAATCACTCACAAAGTAAAGTGCACTTGATAACTTTGCATATATTGTATTTAAATTGACTAAAAATGAGATAATTGTATTTATATTTTTCCTACCAAATGGAGTAAGATATTCATGTACAATAGATCAAATTCAATTTATTTGGTCATTTTGTTAGCTAAAGGACAAATTATTTGCAAAATGGATCTTTTAATTTTGATATAGTTTAATACAATGTATTGTACATGCCAGCCTGCTAAAAAATAGGAAGCGATTATATTTAGATGCATATGTGCACCTCACAACATAGCTTAGATTCAATTATATGTAGATTTTTATCAAAACATGATTTCATTGATGAAAGTGAAAAGTATAGTGATGACTCTTGCTACTCCTTGGAAAGTCACACAGGATAGCAGAGTACAGTATAAAAGTATATGCTATAAAAAAATATGTTCAGAAATAAATTTGGAGTTCATTAGGTATGGTTACATACAAGCAAGGTAAACAGCAGGATGTTATTTCGTAGACCACATTTACCATGTTGATAAAGTGCTCAGAGATATGCAAATATAAGGAAATAAAAGTTAATGTCTAAATGTTTTTCCTCAGCGCTGTCTCTTATTTTAAGAATGAAAGGTAGAAAAAAATTTCAAATCACCAAGCAATCCTTTTATCTGTTGAATTTTCAAGAATACCAAGGGATTTTTGGCAGTAATAATAGGTACATGTACTACAAGCAGTGAATTTTACCTGTTACCGCCTGAAAAGGACCACACTGTTTTTCATTTTTTGTTTTATAAATAGGGCTACAGCACTCATTTTTTTTTTTTGCCAGGAGGTACTGTTTATGCAGATAAAATGCTTAACTTCCTCTGAGAAACTACATTTTAGTTTTTGTTTTGTTTTGTTTTTAGGTATTTTTATTGATACCTCTCAATTTTTTTGAAGGATTATTTATCATATGGAAAGGAAATATCTTGTGATAATCATAGTGTCAGAGTTGAGGGGATTATTTGACAATATTCTCTAAGCCCCAGAAGGATTTTTTTAGTTTTATCAAGTGTACTTATTTTGGTACTTTTCTGTGACATGCCATCTAGGAAGTTGGGTGATAAATCAATGAAAATCGTGTTGTGGATCTCCCTGCGATTAACCAGAGAGTTCCTTAGGGTTTGTCTATAAAGGACAATAACCATCTGTCATCTACCACTTGTAAGACCTCTGACTGCTGTCTGTTTAGCATGTGAGCAGGCTCTAGTGTCTGGGTTACACCTTAAGGGCTTCTTTTCCACGCACAGCATACAAAATATTCAGTCACTAGGGCTAATGCATAAAAAAGGGAACTGAATGTATGAAGCTTATAAATTGCTCTTTGATTTTCCAAGACAGTTATTGGATCCTGTAGTGCTATAAACTGCCCAATAGGGGCATGGGGTTTTTAACATTTTGAATTCAATGAAAATGAGGTGTTAGAATCTGTCTCACATGGAAGTCACTTCCAGAAGAGATCATGATATTACTGCTATCAAAAAGATTCCTTGTTGCCACGCGATTGTTAAGTAACAGATTACAGATGATGTCAAAATGTGGTTAGAACAAAAATTGGCATATGAGGTGCCATCAAGTGTGGCAAATGTTTTTAACCTATTTTTATGCCTGCTGCATTCTATTGCTGTACACGCCCACAGTCACAAGGAATCTTGGAGAATTAGTGATGAGATCTAAAAGGGGGATTTAGAAGAGTTAAGATCATAATTTATTTATAGAAGTTGCTTGTGCTTCAGTTTTTCAATGTTTATATACAATGTTTAAAAATGACTACTACTATTTCTATCCAAAAAATTACGCTATTGACATTGCTGATCCTAGCAGTATGCAGGACGCATGTCGTATGAACTTTGTAATAGACCTTGCTCACCATGGAGTCTCTGTGGCTCAGTGTTAGAGCATCGAAGCGCAAATCCAAAGGTCTGAGGTTTGATTCCTCATGGGGACTCAGAATTTTTTCTTTGTTCCATGCTCATGACAAGATGAAAAAACATCTTTCTTAATTTATTAAATATTAATACCTATATGTTCAATTTCATGTGTTACTAGGATTTGATCACCACAATGGACCATTAAAAGATGACATAGAAGGTGGAAGAGGATTTGAGGCGGCCGATGAATTCCTCCAGGTACCCATGAGGAAACCGCGCTCAAAATCAGTACGCATCTTTATTTATTTATTGTTTTGAATCCTCTAAATCATTTGATTCGTTAGTAAGAGATGGGTGAGAAACTGACAGTTTTTTTACATTTCGGACTACTTGGCAGAATGGTATGATTGGTCACATGCAGACCACACTATGTGTTGGTGGTTAATCATTGTTGACATGAGACAAACAAAATCAGTTCATGAGGGTTATGAACAAAGCCTTCATGGGCCCTTTGAAGCATTTTTTATGAAATTACTTTTGAAGGGGAAAACTACCACAAATGCATCGATTAACATTTCATTTAACTTTTTTTTGAGACATTCAGACCAAGATATAATTTAGATATGCAATTTTGAGAGCTTTTTTATAACCCAGCTTGTAGAGTTTGTTCATCTCATTTCAACAGATAATTAACCACAAACACGTAGTGGTCTGCCTGTGGATTGGCAAAATCCTTTTTTTAAAAATGGTCAAAAGAAAGAATTCTGAAGCATCATTGAAAAAACCAGTGTGAATTGTACATCTACTAATAAGGTTTTTTTAGAACTTCCTTAACTTCCTCTCTGAAGATGACCTTATCATGTGCTTTTCACCTGACTTCTTGACTGTCTACCAAAAGTGGCTAAAATAGTGCAGTTTATGTGCATTGTAGTATTGAAATATAGCAAAGCAGCACTGTCAAATTTAGCAAGTTCGCATGGTAATTTGCTGATGCTTACTGTGGCTGATGGTACAAGCAAATTTAGAAAACTTGATCATTTTTTCCCTAATCACTCAACAAGCATAAATAAGGCATAATTAAAAAGCAGCAAATTATACAATGAGCATATTTTACTTCAGCAGTTTCAAGGTGAGTTTTTCAGATTTTTTTCCTAGTTGAAGAAAAAATCAGTACAGAATTTAAAATGAAACAAAGACAGAATCTTAACCATTATTGTTGCACTTTGATTAAGAATTCTTGTTATTATTTGCCTTGGTACTGCAGAACATTTCAGTTGACTATCTAATTCAGGAATTCACAATTTCAATCTTGCACAGTGGTGTCATAGATAAGTTCATTTTTGGACAATGGCTTTGAAAACCTGAATTTAGGCCTAGATACTTATTTCTCACTAGTAATGCTGTAGGAAAAATAGTGATTAAAATTCTTCAAATTTTGCTTGAAACAGCTGACCAAAAAAACAGGGGACAAATGTCTGCCTTATTGATGTTTTGTCTTAATCTTAAATATGTTAATGGTTTACAGGGTTCAAACTTTACATCTGCCATGTGGGCATCTCTTTGTAGCTTTACCAAGATTATCTGTGCTCTAAGCTGAGTTTGTTTAGTTTTCTTTTTCAAATTTACCATGTGGCAGTCAAGTTACAAGAAGGTTACGAAAAAGTACTAAAATTTTTAAAAAGGGATGAAAAAGTGAAAATTACATTTTGTGAACAATTGGTAAATTTTTTTAAAAATACCCCTTTCACTGTATTTTAGACCATTGACAAAGAGTAAAAAAAATTGTTACAGTTTTCTGCACTTCTTCCAAATACAAAGGGTGCCAGAGTGGTGACTTAACTCTGGGTAACTCCCATGAGTGACAAAGAGAGAATTTCTCCTTACATTATCAATTTAATATCAAGCAGAGAAGTGATGAAAATAAAGAAAAATATCAATTAAGAGAATCGCTAGTTGATCCAATACCAAATTCTCTAAACTAACAGTACAAGAATTGTATGGCAGACAGCAAGGCATCTCATTTCTCTTTACAATATCACCCATGAAACAAACATGAAAGTCATGAGAATGTAGCAGATGATCACAAACTAAAGCAGCTCTTGATTGTTAAACAAATTCTCCTTGTCAGCCTCTTTGGAAATGTATAGAGAACAGTATGGAGAATATGCATTTTGATGTTAGGGTGTAAAGGGTTATTGCTCTTTTATACAAATTACACACTGTAATGAATTGTAATGCTTTCAAAATGTTACACGCCTCCTACAGGTGAGAAACAGGTGGTTTAAAGTTTGCAGGTGGTTTAATTGATTCAGTGATGATAAAATAGTCATGACATAAAGGAAAAAAGTGTGAATTTTAATATTAGTGTTGTAAGCATGCATGTGGAAATAAGCAAGGTTTGAGGTAAGGTTTGCAAGAAACACATGTTTTCTAATCTGAGTAAAAAGTTTGAAAATTAATTTTTTATTTCTAATTTGATGTCTTATTGGACATTACTACAGTATTTTTGTTACCTTGCAAATGCAAACATGATGGTCTTGGGAATAATGTTACAGACAATTACAATACAAGTATCCATTTTCGCTAATAGTTATAAGTTTCTTGAATTTCATGAATCAGATTCTTTAGTGTTAAATGATTGGGAAAGTGTTGTTAACTGAAATGACAATAGCAATCATATTTGCAGTGTTAAGTGTGTATTTGACTGGTTACAACAGCATTGATGTTTAGAAAAAAACAGTTTGTGGTTTGATATGAAATAATTTATTGGTTACTGCTGCAGTTTTCAACTGAATATAAATTGCATGTTGCTTACTGTAGATGAAGTTTGATAGCAATTACAATTTCAATCAGATTCTTTAGCATTCAATCATGCAAGAAATTTTGAGAAGTTATGTGACAGAAGTAATCCAAATTGCAGTGTTTTTATAATAGTCTGGTTAATTCAGCGTTATTATTGAAATTATGCAGTATGGTTGTAGTATTGAAATAATTTATCAGTTGCTGAAACAGTCTGCAACTGAATGTAAATTTCAAGGTATTTGAATTTGGTTAAGTAACAGTTATACAATGTTGACTATTATAGGCATACCATGCTCTTCATTCAGCAGGAAATTGAACATTTCCACAGATTTGTGCCTGGTTATTTTAGTTATGAAACATTTCTGTAGCTGTTGCTTTTCAGCAGTTTTAAGTGTTTTATTATTGATACAATTATTATTATTATTATTATTATTATTATTATTATTATTATTATTATTATCATCATCATCATCAGTGTGGTTAATTATTATTTAGGGGTGGCACAAGGCTGGACTGTAAGAATTACCCAGCCATGGGGGGGGGGGGGGGGGGGCACAGTGGTAGCCCAGTAGGTACCTCAAGTGCCCACCTTCAATAAGCTTGAGCAAAGCAGCTGGTTTTTTTTTTTTTTTTGGGGGGGGGGGGTGGGTGGGGAAATCACAGCATATGATGCATAACATGAAAAGTGTCAGTATTTGGCTTTTGGATAAAGTTCTTCGTAGGTAATAAGTTATTGCAATCAGTATGTAGATGTATCCGTAAACTATCATGAGTGACGAGACAAGAATTATTTTTCCCCTATCAATACAATATCAAGCAAACAAGTGACAAGAACAAAGAAAAATATCAATTTGGGGATCATTAGTTGATCCAATACCAAATTCTCCAAACTTATATCACAAGAATTGTATGGTGGACGGTAAGGGCATTAAGGAGAATTACAAATGAGATCTAACTAAATTAAAGCTCATTGTAATTATGTAAAAAAGGAATTTACTTTCCTTCATTTTAGACTGTTTCAGCACCTGGTGGTTCCAGCAAACGACTCTCCTTACCTGTTCTTCATTATGGGTCGTCATTGACTGATATTTCAATGAGGAAAAGCCCAGCCCATCGTACAAGGAGCTCAACAGAGTTTGGCTCACACAAGAGTCCTCCCTTTGGCAGTGAACAGCATCTTAGTCGAAGGAGCAGGAGGATGTCCCTGGTAAGTTTATGAATGAAAGGGTTGGTTGACGTTAGGCATTAATTTTCATCAACATTCTTACAGTGTTACTTTTTTTGCGTCACTAAAAAACTTAATTTTTTCCCCTAGTCTGAACTTGGTTACGGAAAAATGGAAACTTATGTCAAGTTGGACAAATTGGGCGAGGTTTGTTTTTCTCCTTAGTCACAACTATTACAAAATTCTCGAACGTCAGTCAATTAATCAATAATTTATTTAACCGCGTTATCGTCTAAGAGCACAAGTGCTTGTTCAAAACACTAACGTACATTAAATCTACAATTACAACAAAAAAATCTGGTATTAAAAGGAAAAAAAAATAAATTTAAATACATAATTTATAATCTATGTACACACGAATATAAAATGTTATAAAAATTACACACACAAAAAAAAATTTTAAATATAAAATTACAGCTGAAATAATTAGTTATCACCAGCCCGATTTGAGCACTAATAGGACAGTGTACGCGTCATGCTTGTAATTGGACAGTGTAATAGGACAGTTCACACGTCTCTATCATATGTCTGCCTGTGAATGTACACATATAAATGAACGTTTGAACTTTTTGGAATTTTTTTCGGTTGTCAGGGTACATATGCGACAGTTTTCAAGGGGAAAAGCAAGTAAGTTTCCGCAGCTACTTGAGAAAAAGTGGGTTGGCGAATGTGTAATAAGATTAAGAAATGTTAAAATTTTACATCTAGCATATGAATTACTCGCTTGGTAGACTAAGAATTAGCCTACTTGTAGCCGTACCCTCCCCCCGCCAAGGTGAAACGGCGTTTCCTTACCCCTGTTTCCTCGCCTCCGTTTCACCTTGGGGAGGGGAAGGCGTGCGGCTGCACGTAGGCTAACCGAGAATATTCTATCATTTTCTGTGAAGTCTGTCGCGCGAGTCAAAAAAATAATGCGATAGAAAACCTCGATATTAGCACGCCACGCGAAGCTCTCTTAATCTCAAAGCTCTGCGCGGCGCGTTACCATAAATTTTTATTTCGCTGTTTTGTTTTTTTTTTGGTTTTTTTTTTAAATTCGCGCGACGAAAGCCTGATTTGCCGAAAGAGAGAGCTCGTGGCCCAAATGTTTGCATTATTAAGAGAAGAGGAGTTTTTAAGCAAACGACCATTTTTTTAAAATGCTTTCCTTAGGCTTACAGATAACTTAGTTGCGTTGAAAGAAATCAGATTAGAACACGAGGAAGGTGCTCCATGTACAGCTATCAGAGAAGGTACGTGAGGTTTGTTTTTACCTTTTCCAATCTGGTATCAGTATACACATTCTCCATTCTATTCTCTAGACATTTCCTATGGCACTAAGAAGGATTTGTTAGTCAATCAAGAGACTCTTTAAGTTGGTGACCTTTTTCTTTATTCTCGTGGTCGTGTATGATTTAGGGGTCGTAATGTAGAGAGAAATAAGATGCTGATCACTTTAGAGATTTAACAGTTGATCTATTTTATTACTCCGCAATTACGCAATTTTGCCATATTACAGAATCACCCTTTAACGTTGGAACTTATCAAGCTACGGTATTCATTGAAGAAATGTAAAATGGTTTCCGTGTTTACATAGCCTGATGTAAACACGCGGGAGGTTGGGAGAACACGAGATAAGCGTGGGAAACCACGACGCGAAGCGGAAACCATTTTACATTTCTTTTATAAAATAACTAATGAAAGAGGAACGAAAACCGTGTTTACATACGCTCATGTAAAATGGTTTTATGGCCAATCAGAGCGCGCGTACTATTTGAATTATTTTATAAACAATACTAATAATTCAGTAACTTTCAACTCTATGCAGAAAATAGGAATTTGCTTTTTAGAAACTCTGTAGCTTTCTGTCCCAATGATGACCAAAGATACTAACTTTTTTCTTTTTAGTGTCGCTCTTGAAAGATTTAAAACATGCAAATATTGTCACTCTTCATGATATTGTACACACTCCGAAGTCGCTGACGCTAGTTTTTGAATATCTGGTAAGTAGTACCATACTTTCTTCAGCCTGCAAAACGGGCATAACTTTTTTCGCGCTCCTCAACGCGCGTTAATTAGACGACCCGACCCAGACCTCCCTACTTTTTTCACTGCTCGCTCCTCGTTTTATTAACGTAACGCCTGGAACCTACAATTACTCCATTGCGTCCTATTGAGTGGTTCTATTACCTTATGGGAATTGCTGTTTTGTTGTTCGATTAGGAAAAAGATCTGAAGCAATACATGGATGATTGTGGAGGAATAATGAGTATGAACAACGTCAGAGTAAGTGGAAAGGGTTTATTAGTTTTTTTCTGACGTCTGCAAAGTTTGCCGCGCGACAACAGTTTTATCGTTTCTCTCACGCTGTACAATGAGTGGCGAAAGTTTCAGCCCGCTCTACTAATTTTTGAATTTCCTCCATAACTTTTATTTATCTTCCTCTTCTCCTCCTCTGAGTGGTAGGATGGTTTCAGTAAACTTACTTTTTTTAACTTTCAGATATTCCTATACCAGTTACTAAGAGGACTTCATTACTGTCATAGCAGAAAAGTTCTCCACAGGTAAAAGAGCATGAAGAGCGAACAACTTCTGCGGTTTCCTCAACTTTCAGAAATTTTCCAATGGTCTTCTCACACTAAACACTTTAAACCCCAACATCAGTATGCATATTCTCCATTCTGTTCGTCATATATTTCTCATGGTACTGAAAAAGAGAATTTGTTCCACAATCAGTAGCTTCTTTAGTAGGTGATCATTGGCTTTATTCTTGCGACCGTAATGTGTGATCCAGGGGTGATTTTGTAGGGAGAAGTTAGATGCCAGTCACTCCACTGGGTTCAAGGGTTAAGTGAAAAAGAAACTGAAAAACACACGTGTGTGAATAGCGACTCACTTGTCGTCCATGTTCTTACAAAATCAGTGATCTTGTTAAAAAGTTGCTACAGGAAAACTGCGCAGTTCAAGTTTCCGCGGTCTGTTTTAAGATAATCGTAGCCTACGGATATACTCCTCAGAGACGTTGTGAAAGCTGTATCGTCAAATGATAAGGTTTAATATTAATTTTTCCGATTTCAGAGATCTTAAACCCCAAAATCTTCTCATAAACGATAAAGGAGAACTAAAACTCGCAGACTTTGGTGAGTGTGACAATCAAACACACAGGCTGTATGTATATCAGTGTTTAAATTTATCGCAAGCGGAGTACTCTAGGAGTGTGAAGACAGTTACCAGTCATTTCGTATCCAGTTGATTCTTAGTCGTCCTCAGTGACGATCAAAAGTCAGGAGATCTCGCGAAATACATTCATGTGCTTTACGCACGAGAGCTTGAAGATGTCGGTTGTTGCGTAGGACAAGTTACTAAAGACTCAGCCAAGATGCGTTGAAAATTTTACCATTCAGTGCTTTATTTGTATCTATTCGTATCCATTTGTATTTCTACAGTTGACACTCTCATAGGTTTGTGCGTCTGTAAGTTTACATATTCTTTTGTCTAATTTTCTTATGCAGGAAGTTTCTTTTAGTAATCAATGTTTGCTTTCTCGTACTCAGGCCTCGCAAGAGCGAAGTCAGTACCTACTAAAACATACTCCAATGAAGTCGTAACGTTGTGGTAAGTCATGAAGCAAAATAGATACACACTGTAAGACACGCAGGGCTAATCAAAGAGGAGTAACAAGAATCCCAGTCGCTTTATGTTATCAAAACTTGTTCAAGCCTGGTTTGCAGGCTTTGAACCGATTATTAAAATAAAGTTTAGCCATTGTTCAACAAAACTCCGTCGTAAACAGTCCTCAAGTTAGCCGAACCTTGTATCTGAACATTTGATATAAAGAACAGTGTCAAGAGGGCCGAAAGCTAACGGTGGAAATAATAACATTTATTTCATTAAATCAACCCTCTTATAGAGAATACCTGAGGCCCACTGCTTGCGTCAAACCACGGTTTGGGTTAGACCTCGTGTAGTTAACCGGCCCTTTATGCTTTACGGCTCCTATCGTATTCTTTGAATTAAGGAAAAATGGATGGGTTTGTTTTTCAGGTATAGACCGCCAGATGTTCTTTTGGGGTCAACGGAATACTCAACACAAATCGACATGTGGTATGAGGCTTTTTTTTTTTGTATTTTCAAGCCCGTCACTCTCAAGTCTTCAGTGTAATAATTTGCTTGGGAAGAAACAACTGAAATGACAAAACAAGTTATAACAAAAACGCAGTGGACTCTTTTCAAAGAACTCTTTTGAGTACATTAAAACGGATTTTAAATAAGGAGATTGAAACAGTGAAGCGTAATTGTTTATAAAGGAGCATAGAACTATCATTGAAATCTCAAAATTCAAGGTGTATCGTAAGCTGTTGTAGTTCGAAAAAAAGACGTGGACGCGATTGTGTTCAAACAGTTTCAATTCAACGTCGAAAAAACCAAAATCAAAGTAATTCCAGTGATAAAGAAAGGTTTACATCATCATTAGCCAATGAGAACTCAAAGTTAAAACAAGCCAACTGCTTGAAGCGCGGGAAAACGCGAATGACCATGCCGCGTTTATTTTTAGTTTTGTATCTGATTGGTTGAGAAGATGGCGCGAGTTTCTAGACCAATCGGAAAGCAAAGTTAACCAGAACCAAAACAATCCCGGATTATTATCGACACTCAATTGAAAATTGCTTTTTTCTTCTTTTCAGGGGTGTGGGGTGTATATTTTTTGAGATGGCGACGGGAAGGCCTTTTTTCCCCGGATCTACCGTGGAGGATCAGCTTCATTTAATTTTCAAGGTGAGAGTAACTTTGTAAATCATGTTTGTCGTCAAACGCACGATTCAAAGGTCATACGCTCTGTGCCGTGCATAAGAGCACAGAACGGTAACTTTGGATAGGGCTGGAATCTGAAGCATTTAAGCATAGTCCATTTTTTTAAACAGTTTATCAACCGCATTCCCTTTACTCTGAGAAATGCAACACTTTGCCACAGACTGCTAACTGCAAAGAGTACTCAGTAAAATGTGTATGTAAGGCAAGCCTAGTTCTTTTGAAACGGCAGACATTGAGCCCTGAAATGATTTTGTAGTTAAGTTAACGTGAAGTTTATTTTTTAGACGCTGGGAACCCCAACGGAGGAAACGTGGCCTGGAATCACAACTAACGAAATTTTTCTGTCAGGTAGTTAAATTAAAAGTTTAAAATGTTTAATTTTATATCAAGGGCTCCGTGTGTGTGCGTGAACCAATTTTCAATTTTAAAGAGTCAAAAGATATCCTAAACTGCACATTGCGCTTCCTGATTGGCGAGAGAAACTCGCCTCTTTCTCTTTTTACGCGCTTGGGATAGTTTTCTTTGCTTTGTGATTGGTCTAGAAGACTCACGCAAAATTTTCAGCCCATCAAATGCAAAACTAGAAACAATAGCTGCTTTGTCACCCGCGTTTTTCCGCGCTTCAGATCGTTTCCTTATTTTTTTTAGTTGTGATAGGATCTTTGTGTCACTTTTCTTTGCTCTGATTGGCCGTCGTGATTTCTTCGGATTTGGTTGCACAATATTTGCTCTAGCTGATTGTATTTTCTCAACTTTTTTATTTTTCATTCTGTTTTCCAGGACGATTCCCATTTTACCCAAGGGAACATCTTATCAATCACTCTCCAAGGTACAATTGAGGCCACATTCGCTATTTACTACGATTTTTTTTTTTTTTACTTGTACCATTGTTACTATATTGTTAAAAGTGTTAACTTCTAGAGTCTGCGCTTGCTCAGACTTCTGGTGTCATAGAAACGCATCGGTCAAACACAAAGCGTGGGCAAGAAAGGTTCATTTTTCTGTCAGCCGCGCGCTAATTTCCCGCGCAAAATTTCAAGGAAAACATAAGGAAAAACGGCTGTCACGCCAAATATGCACAAAAAATAAAACATCGATACGTTCATGTCAATCTGTAAAAGGAAAACTTCCACAAACCTTGTTTGAGTACGAGTTTCCTGCCGATGTACCATTATGTTCTGAGTTTTATCAAAAAAGTTATGCGGTTTTCAAACATCGCGACTTATCCGCTCGTGTGGTTGTTCCTAAGGGAACTTAGTTATGAGAAATCACTGGAAATCAGAAAAGAAACCTGATGTGCGCACTTCGCGCGGAATTCTGGGAGTGATACTTTATTGTGCGCTTCACTTCCAGAGTACATGCATAGATTAATTACTTTTTTGTGCCGATTTTTTTTGCCTCGAGCGATGGAAAAAGAGGGAAATGTAGCATGGAAAAAAATAAATCAGATGGTGTATTTTTAATTTATTTACAGACTTGATAATTCAGGGCTCGACTTACTTGAAAGATTTGTCGAGGTAAGAGAGATGTTCTTACCATTTTGGACCGTTTCAGCCACAAGATCTTTGTATTAACTCTTCCGACTGTCTCCTCTTTTCATTCCTTATGATATTCTATCGATACTGAGAGGAGAAATTAGTGGAGTATTTTACCCTTTAACTCATAAGATCTGAATGTTAATTCTCCCCACTTGCTGCTACAAATTTCCTTGTCAATTAGTTATAAGAATTTGGTGTCAGATCAAGGTAATAACCTCTACTTGATCAGTTTGAGTATTCTCATTAGCTGTTTTCGGGATAATTTAATGAAGATTAAAGGGAGAAGTTACCTGTTAATCACTTCTGACAGTTAAATGGTTACGAAAGTTGTATTAATCCGTGGAAATGGTTGGACTTGTAATTTTCAGGTTTTCATTTTAAATTGGTTTTTTTCTTTTCGTTTTAGTTTGTTGTGAAGGACAGAATATCAGCTTGGGATGCAATGAGACACGATTATTTCTTTTCTTTGGGCAAAAAAATTCAAGAGTTAAAAAATGGTAAGTCGTTGTGTATTTAAAAGAGCTTCCTTAAAATACGTTTGTGTATTGGTTAATTTAAGAGAGCTTTCTTAAAATGCGCTGGATTACAAATAGACACATTTTTACGGGCACGCGCAAGATAAAACACGCTAGGAGAGCTTTTCGTCGTTCGCGCGCGCCACTAGAAACGCGCGCTCCTGTTATGCTGCGCGTGCTTGAAACCAGTATTTTCGGGCACAAATCCCGCGCGAGCTGCTTGGAGGTGACTAATGGTGAATATTCGGACCTTGAGCAGCCAATCAGAGCGCACTTTCAACGAAGAAGTCAGTGAGGAAAACCATCTTCTCTCGCTTGTTTTTCTTTTAAACTGAGGCTAACGATCCACTATTTTTTATTATTGTTTTCAGAGGAAACAATTTTTGGTATGGATGATATTAGGTTGGCTAAGGACCCGGGCTACAGACCTGTGGGAAGAACGGGTATTGGTAAGTAGTAATTTCCTTCTTTAGCCGGCAACTTGGATGTGGGTTGTACACGAGTCGGAAATGAGAAGGTATAAGGTGCCAAGTGAAAGTCGTCAGGGCAGCCCACCTGTAAGTGTCTTAGCCCTGGAATCCCCTTAGAGTGATCAGCATCAAATTTCCCCCCATAGTTTCAACCCCTGAATCAAACATTGAGGTCTGAGAATAAAAAAAAATTATCACAAACTCAAGAAGCTTTCGATTGTTTGATAAATTCTCCTTGAAAGAGCTAAAGGAAATGTAGTGAGAACAGTATGAAGAACTTGCATGTTGATGTTTGAGTGTAAAGGTTTAAAACTGTATACAGTCCGATAAACTTTATCACATTGATATACTGCTTAGGAGCTTTAATATGAATGGTTACACACTGGGGTTTTGTCCGCAGTCTAAGAAGTTAAAACAACTTTTTTGGGGGTAATAAACAGTACTTGTGGTTGTTACAAGTCAGAGAAAAGTCAAGGGATTATAGATTTTTTTCAAGGTCTGGGAAAAGTCAGAGAATTTGACATCGTTGAGAGAAGTCAGGGACAATGAAATCTTAAGATAGATGTGCTTATTCATCTCGTCTTGAAGTCTTGCGGAAACTTTTTGTGATATCAGTGTTACTTACATGTAAATGTTTAGCGCAGTTGATAGATTCATTGCAAGCATAACGCTGTCACTTGTACACAAGTTTAAGTTGGTTTGCGAATAAAATATCACTTTTATCCCTCCTCTTTTGATCGTTCTCTAACATTTCAATTTCTTTGGTAAATTTGAGAACATAAAACGTTTTGGATTGGTTGAATATTGGTTAAGGAACTTGAACGACAAGCTGATGTTGACTTTCTAAGAATATAAAAAATATTTGGATGTGATATCCATTGTGCTAGGCGAAAGTACTTCTTTATCTTAGGGACTTCATTTCACTCAAGTCACATTGCATCCGTAGATTTAAGAGGAAAAACCTTGTTGTACAGCATAATGACCTGTGCAACGTGAATGCACGAAACAGCAGCTTTCATCTGAATGGTCACGCACTTGAGTTCTATTTACAGACCCGCAAAGTGTAATGAACAGTTCTAAATGAGTGAATGTGTGCAATAAGGTCACGCACCAAGGTACCAATTTTTTGCATTCTTTCTTCACTAGGTCCTGGTAGAAGACGGCAGAGTATGCTATTTTAGTACTCAGTACGTCTTGTATTCGCGCGGAGTCTGGTACTTGCAAGGAATCATCGGGGCTGGTTACCTCAGAAACCTACGTAGTTACGACTTCACACTTCACGCAATCAAAGGAAGGTTTTATCCAACTAGTTACAATTTTTATTAATTTTTATATGAAAATAGAGAGTTTTATTAAACTCTGAATGTTCCGTTTTGGTAGAGGAAGTTCTTGGCGGAGAAAAACATATTTTGATTGATGGAGAGATGAAAAATTTAACTGAACAATAACTTGGATAAGCGATGAAAAAAGAATGGAAGCAGACCGAAAACTAAAATGACCGGCCAAACGACCGACAACTTTTTAAATTGAAACAGAATTAATTTCGTTCTGTTTGTTTCCGTTGCGAGGAATCTTTCTCTATACGTCATCAAACGGTCGATGCTCGTTGGAGCCAACATAGCGGTCAAACGTCTGCGCATGTGTGAATGCTGTAATGAGTTGGTGGCGAAGTTGTCTCCCACATTGCAAACAACCACACAAGCTCAAAATAGAATGGTGAATCAGGAGGTTACCCGTATTTGAGTACGCTTTGGGCGCTAAATGTCTCAAGGTTTTTTTCCCCTACCTTTGTTTCCTGTTACAGATTTCTAGTAACTTTTCGATTCTTTTCGTCTCTTCCAAGGGACAGCGGTTTTGCCTTACGTTTCCCTTTGAAATTTTGCGCGGGAAATTTGCGCGCGGCCCGCCAGAATCGATCCCCACGCGCATGCCCAACGTTTGACCGCTGTGTTGTTGGAGCCAACGTTCGATTCTAGCAGCGTGTTGTTCGAGACAGAAATCTCTTTCAAGAGCGAACGCAACCAGAGACCCATTTTAATACCTCCGTTCTTTTTAACTCGATGTTCCTTTCTTGTACATATTTTTATTTATTTTGCTGAAAATTATTCCAACGCAAACTTACGCGAGACGTTCTCTCTGTCTAAATTTCTTCACGAGGAATCTAACTGCATCGATCTTTCACAGAAGGGAGAGTGATTCCTCGAAGATTAAATATTTGATACAGTAAAATGTCGGTTATAAGCCCGCTCCCTAATTAAAGTGTCAACGATTTCTAAACGGAACTTGTGATCTGGTTACCCCTTCCCTCACTCCTCCCCCCACTTTTCATCTCCACCCGTTATACCTAACAAGGTTCTCCCTACCCCTCCCCGCTCATAATCCCCATCTGTTCCTTAGCTTTCTTCCTTTCATAAAATCACAATTGCCGTGTAGTCTGAACAAGCTTATGATGAGATTCTTCAATGGAAAGCAAAGAACTTGCAGGTGTCGATGGATGAACCCCAATTTTGTTTTATTATTGCTATTTGTTGTATCTTTTTTCTTACACAGAGAAATTAAATAAATTTCGTTATCACCTTATGTAAGCTTGACCGGATGTAACTTCCCTCCACCCTCCCCTCCCCCCTCTCCTCCCCCCTTCCCACTCCCCCACCTCCATTATGTACTAGCCCTCTTTAAGCTCTTTTAGAGGTTGCATACGGCTCGGGCCTATAACCGAGATTTTACGGTATTCCGCCATTGAACGTAGTTTGATATTTCGGACGGTTTAATATTTGAAGCTTACACTGTACTTTTCACAATCTTTCACAACTTTCTTGATCAATTTTCTTACTCCTCCTTAGTGTTTTAAGTCGCATTGAAGTGTGTAAGTCCTAAGAAAATAGAATTCGGTCGCACTGGAAGGAAAAAAAGGGTTAATTTAAAACTGTTTTTGACAACTTGTATTTGAGGGAATAATTTCAGGACTCAGGGAGGAAGTTAAGGCTAGTTTACACCATTTTCGTAATGGCAATCTTAGTCGGAAGTAACGTTGAAACGTTCCTATCGCGGCTAACGATTTGCAGCTTTAGTGTAAGCTAAATCCCGCGATCGAAGAGGCTAAATCAATCAACTCATTCGTCACCAAACTTAATATTAGGAAAAATGCGCGAACTAGCATGGAAGGGAGACTTGGGCCCTAACTTGCATGTTGTTCACGTTCAGTTATGTAGCAACGACGAACTCGCTTAAGATTCCAATTGCAGTGATAATGTTTGTGCTACAAGTGTAAACCAGCCTCTATCCTTCACCTACAAAAGTTACTTGAACAGGTCAGTGCCAAATTCTTGAATCTAATGTAAGAAAATAAGTGTAGAAATGATGTAAAAAGTTCCGTTTTTTTAAATTGCTTTTCCATAATTTGTAGTCATAGAGGAGTAATAGGTAGAATAAAACACGCTTTAGATTTGTAATTAAGTTAATTCGTTTTAGGCCATGATGTAGTGAAATGAAATTTCCGCTCAAACCAAAATTTGAAAAAAGTTTTAAAACAGAAAACGAAATCGCCAAGAAAAAAAAGCAACTTTACAAATGATCACATGTAAAGCACCGTGGAATATCACAAGGCAATAAATCTAGAATTGAAGCTGTTGTTTTTTGAGTTGTTGTACGTTCTCAACCCAACCTGCTATTTCCATAGTAACGTTCAAACATCAGCCCCGTTCCTAGGCGTTTCATGAAGACTTTGAGAGACTGGAGACGAACGCTAAGCTCGACGGTCGTGGGTGTATTTCCTCTATTCTTTGCGCACTCAGTGCCTCTTTGCCAAGAGACGTGAGAGACGCGGAGGCATAATGGGTGGAGAAGCAGCTCGTTTTGTTTAGTTCTTGGGCAAGGAACGTTACTCTCGAAAGTGCCTCTCCACACGTGTCTTTGGCGAGCGACCACTTCTATTCTATTCTCTTCTAGGCCTACATGATCTGAGTTAAACCGAAAAAAAGCTCCTACAGCTATGCGAGTCAGTAGAGAAACCTGAGATGAACGTTCCTAATCAGTGGGAGTAGCAGTACCCCTATTCGCTTCATACAACAAACCGGATCACGGGTTTTAATGAACACAATTGCAACCTCAATTTTAATATCGACTCGAGATGAATTTACTACAGAAACATAAGCAACGATACCCAGCTCCCTATTTTTCCGGACGAAAAAAAAGCATTCAAAACAGACATTATTGGTCCGTTTTTTTTCTTCTTTTTCTTCTTTCTTTTTTAAGGGAAGCGAACTAAAAGGTGATCGGGTGCGAAGTTCGAATCACACGCCTTTCACCTACTCGCGCATGACTAGACCCTTGCACTCATCTTGTGCGCGACTTTCCTAGAAAAAAAATAATAAAAAAATACCCTTTGATAATCTTTTTAGTTTCAGAGCGTTTTAACTAAAGAATGGTTTTTACAATTACCGATATCTATTCATTTTTTCACGTGCGTATTCATAACCGTGATTATGCATCTCTTTCGCGCTGATTCTGGTTCAGCTGGGTGTCTGTAGAACGCAATTGATTGCATCACCGTCGGTGATTCTACCATCCCAGCCTCTCGACAGTGTTCGAAAGTTGGGTTCCTGGTTTGAATCCAATATGTGTATGTCCATTCACATTGGTAAGATCTGCAGCAAGGCTTTTCATGGCTTGTATAAAATTCGCCAAATTAGGAAATTCCTTAGTCCTGAGTTCACGAAGACTCTTGTTCACGCATTTGTGACTTCACATTTGGACTACTGTAACTCTCTTCTCTTTGGTGTCCTAAGTACCCGACAGATCGTCTTCATGAGGTGCTTAACGCCGCTGCTCGATTTATCCTTAGGATTCCAAAGTTTGATCACATTTCGTCCGCCTTATCTCATCTTCACTGGCTTCCTGTGACTTATCGCGTTCATTTTAAGTTGTTACTCTTAGTTTATAAATCTCTTAACAATCAAGGCCCACAATCGTTAATCGTTTTAATATTTGTATAGAATTTTTTGTAAAGCGCTTTAGAATATAGAAATGTAAACAATTATTATTATCATAATACAGTCTATAAACCTGTTTTTCTCAACAACTGGGCCTTTTGCAGCCACACTCCATATCTGGTCATCACCTACGTTCCTGTGATCAGGGCCTTCTTAGATCCCAAGAACTAATTCTAAGACCTTTGGTGATCGCACCTTTATTCCACTTCTGTGGAATAAACTGCCGCTTGAAATTCGAAACAGTCAGAGTGTAGCCATTTTCAAGTCCAAGCTTAAGACACATCTGTTCAAGCTGGCTTATAATTTGTTTTAACATTTTTAATAGTTTTAACATGTTATGTATTCTTAATATTTTTCATATTTCATCGTTTATTGTTTTAATATTTTTATAGAATTTTTTGTAAAGCGCTTTAGAATATAGAAATGTAAACAATTATTATTATCATAATACAGTCTATGAACCTGTTTCACAACAACTGGGCCTTGACGTGAAAGCAATAACCGGAACATTTTATACTGACACCATACAATTTATTTCCTCTTACAACTTAAAGAGCGGTATTATAAATAGTTCTTGTTTTCTACGGGAACTTGCTCACAGAGTAAAACTAATAAATATTTTTCAAGTCGATTCTCGCATGGCAAAACAGGTAGAGTTCCTACGACTCTAAGGGGGTTCTCCCCCCATGGGTTCAGCTTGTCGAAAAGGTGTTTGACTTTTTACCACCCAAGAAAGATAATGAAACAAAAATGATGCTGGTGACTCTCCATCTAAACTCTTAACTGGCTGAGCGTGAAGCAAACAAAACTCTGAGGCAAATCTGTGACGTGTCAACCCGAAATAAATGGCTTGGATTTTAAATTTATATTTATCAAAAATTGAAGAGTTTTCAGCAAACCACGTTGTCTGTCGAAGAGTCGACTCTTATTGAATGCATCAATAAGTACAAATGCGTTTTGATGATTTATTAGAAATTACGAAATGCTCGTGGCTAACACAGTTTTAAACAAGAACTATTTTAATGCATGATGTAAACAGCACTATAATCAGTTTACAAGTGCGTATGGTTTGCCGCATCTTGACAAACGTTGGCTGAAGCGGACGTCAAAATCTAACTCTACAAAATCTAACCCGAGTATCGACTTAATAAACAAAACCGTGATAACTTGTCAATCATTTGTTGGGCGTATAATTGAACTGAATCAGTTTACTAGAAAGGCAAAAATTGCCTTTGGCAACAAAACGCGGGGATTCCAAAATTTTAAAACGACTTAGGGTAAACCCCGGAAATTAGAGGTGGAATCCTTTGGCAAAGTATACTGGCTGGTCTTATGAATACCTCAGGCGTTGACGACTCTTGGTAGGTTAGAAATTTTTAATGCTAATGCAACAGACGAAACAAAAATTTGTCAGTGTGTCCCTTTTGTTCGGACAGTTCTAGTTTTTTCCCCTAGTGCGGAAAGGCCCTAAGGGGGCCTTTAGTATATTGATTTTAGTTCAATTACACACTTGTCGAAACCCACACGACAACAGTCTAGCACGGTTACGTTTAATTATTCGGTTTTGTCCAGGTTATAATCCAAGAAAAATTTTGTGGGCGGTGCGTCTGAAGATTTTTCCGCTTCGGCCAAAATTTTTCGCAACAAACCATCCGCACTTGTAAAATGTTGGTGATGTCAGGAAATTTATCTATTATATGGAATGTTTGCAGCTATGATTTCCACGAATTAAGACTTTAGAATTCTTGGTTGGTCCACTTCAGAGTTTACATCTTCTTTCCCTAAACAAGACCGTCATCTGCTGCATCTTCTGAGCAAGGAATGGGGGGTTTGACTAACAAGATAAAGGAAAAAGAGCAAATATTACTTAACAACTGATATAAAAGTTTAATGAAAGAGATGTAAAAAAATCAACAACATATATATATATTTATATGATTAAACGACTGTAGCTGGTAATTAGCTCTCCGTATTAGAAAATTAGGAAAGATGCATGAAAAGTTAACTTTACAATTATTTGCGTGCAAAGATTGGAAGGTAGAAAAAATGACGATATGTCGTTGGCAACGTGAAACTCAACAAAATGATAAGAAATATTACTGAAATTCAACTTAGATCAAAACGATTTTGTCACGTATCGAAACGAAGCTGGTCTCACCTTCAAAATAATTATGTTCAACAGCGTTACGCTCATCCTGGTTATTCCACATTATGATGAACTGATATAACCACAAGAAGAACGAGAGCCACAGCTTCACGATTCCCAATAAGCATCGAGATATCCTTTTAAGACCTTGACGAATTATGATCATCATTCTTGGAGCAGGAGTTCGGAGGAAGGTTTCTGTCGTTTTCCTCTTCAAGTTCAGTTAGTCATTTGCAGAAAGCCCAAGAATGCAATTAGGTTAACCTTCAGGCAAAAAATGTTATATGCTAAACGTGTTGTGATTGGCAAAAATAAGGGGCAAGATGACATGGAAGATAGGTACAAAATAAACATAAACCATCATCTCGTACCGTGTTGGATGACTGCGTTTCCTGTCTGCATGGTTATAAATAACACTATGTTGCACTTCATGCGTGATTACTTCTTGCGTAAAACCTTTTCATGCGATTTGCTGCTCCGATTCACTCTATTTTAAACTGCGTCCAGCTGAGCATGAAAGTTCTACAGCTTAAGTTATGCCAGATGCAAACGAGACCATCAAACGAAAAGGGAAATCAACCGATTGCAAAAACAGTGTTAATAATAATTCGTCAAAATTAAGATATATTAAACTACTGAAACCCACTTCAATCAGTGAGAAAACCATTAAATGAAAAATTTTTTGCGATGTTGTCCTTCCCTTGTTTACCGTGGGTGATAACTTTGAGTTGCGATTAATCATAAGATCCGGGTTAAAGAGTTTAATTCTTTCGCTTTTTTTTCAATCATTCAGTATCAGCTTTCGTGTATTACTCGTTAGTTAAGGACTTGTCAGAAACAAAACTCCTCGTAAAATGGCTCTTAATCGAAGGTTTCTTCGATCCTCTATCGCTACTTACCACGAGTGATACTAATTGATATGCAAACAAAATAAGCGATCAGTCCTACGAAATGAATAATTTTAGTTTTATTTTTCTACAGTAAAACTTATGGTATTTTCCAATTGCTATTTGCGCTAGGAAATGAAAAGACTACCATGACAGATTTAACCAAAATTAAACCAAGCATTAAACCAAAAGGCGGCCTGGTGGCTGGGTGGTCTGTGCTGTGTTCTTTTTTTGTTTTGTTTTCCTCAGTTTTCCATCTAAATAATCTACTTCTTTGACGTCGAAATGTTCACAATCATCTGACTATTATAGTTCCAGTTTCGTTATCACCAGGTTGGAAGATAGAGTGTGAGACACTCTGTATGATTTAATATGGATTACAAAATGCTTATGGCTTACATTTGTTAAACAACATGATAGTTAGTAAGTGAACATTAAACTTCTACAATATATAAAATGTTTTCTATTATGTTTCTATTATATGAAATGATTGCGATTATGATTTCTACAAATCAAGTCTTTAAACATCTTGGTTGGTCCACTTTGGAGTTTACATCTTCTTTCCCTAAACAAGACCGTCATCTGCTGCATCCTCTGAGCAAGGAATTGGAAGTTTGACTGACAAGATAAAGGAAAAAGAACACATATTATTTCACAACTGGTATAAAAGTTTAATGAAAGAAATATGTAAAAAAAAAAACAAAAACAAAAACAAAAACATATATATACATATATATTCTAACGACTGTAGCTGGTAATCAGCCGTCCTTATGCATATCAAACTCACTGCTAACAAAAGCCTGTATCAAGTCTCGGCGACCACGCCCCCACCACTGTCTGACTCAAAACCACAAAACTTGGAACCTTTGGTTCGGTTACTAAGTGACGTTTTGGTAGTGATTAATTTTAACAAAGAAATTTTAAAGACAAATATTAAAGCTACTTTAATTAAATTAAATATTAAAGCTACTTTAGAAGTTATTTTGAAATACTAAAGCCTTAGGATTTAATGGGTCAAAATTCATTTTTTAAAATTTCTATTACCGTATTTATTCGATTAAACGCCGCGGCGTTTATTAATTTGTTTATTAAATTTCGTGATTCGAGTGCGGTGTTTATTCGAGGGCGGCGGTTATTTAAAATCCAATTTATTTCTTGCAAACAACAGTATGGCAACTGACTATCTGAATTAAAGAAAAAAAAAAAACATGTTGCCTGTCTAAAAAGTCACTTTTTATATCGTTCTCAATTTCACAATTTGCATGTTCATACTACTGCAATATATAGTGAATAAAGATCTAATGTCGTATATTCTTTCTCGACATCAGAACTGGTACATTCAAAAGGATTTGCCTGGCTCACTCAAAATTTCCAACTACGATCGAAGCATTGCTCGCTGTGTGCTTTTTGAATTTATTATTCGAATAAACGCTGCATCATTATGCGGCGTTTGTTAATATTTCTGCTCTTAAATGCGGCGTTTATTCGAAGGCGGTGTTGATTCGAGGGCGGCGTTTAATCGAGTAATTATTACAGTGGCAATTTTGGAAAGCGTTCACAGTGTCGTATCACGATTTGCGCGTAAGAATGGGTCCTAGCTCTTTTGCGCACGCTCGAACCTTAATATTACCGCCATATTCGAATAGAGCGAAAAATTTCCTAATGTTTTGGTAAGCTCGTCTAGTTTGCGACTAATTTAGATAGGTCAAATGGCCGCTCAAGTTCGAACGCTCTCACGAGATTTACTTCTGGTCTTCTGAAGATCCGTAAAAGTCGTGGGAGAAGGCAGAGGGTCCAAAAACAGGATTTTCCGGCCATTCGTTACCTTCGTATTAACAAGTAGGTTGTCTTTTAAATAATTTAAGCGATGTGATTCTTTTTCCTTTTGTCTTAAGAGATGTTGAATTTCGTATAATACGAAACTTTTGTTGCTAGTAAGTCTCGAATTTGTCTGATGCCTGTCGTGTTTATCAATTTTTCGGCTATCTTCTCTACTTAATTGCCAAAGAGAACGGAGAGGGAAGTGGCTAATCTTCCTTCGCTGCAGTTGTGGAGAAAGTCATGCAACAAACGGGTATTTGAGGCATCCTCGTCAACAATCGAATACCAAATGTCTTAAGGAAAAAGATTGCGACCATGTGTGCTTAGCTAAAGCGAACAAAGAAGGAAAGTGGAGGTTTCGGTGTTAAGAGGCTCACTGATAAGTGGCGTGACCGTACTTACTCCGTCAAGTTATTTTATTACGAGCTTGATAATTATTTTATTGAAAAGGAAAATCAAGATTTAAGAGGGGAGAAACGAACGCCAGAAGAATCTTTGAAGAATGAAATTACCAAGCGACAGAAACTTGAGGAAAAGCTCGACGACACAGGGAGAAGCTACAAGTATCACAAGAAGAGATTCCAAGGACTAGTTCACAGAATTGCAGAGATGAGTAAGAGAGGTGTAATGAGCCCTGAGAAAAGATCCTTTAATGAGCACTCCAAGTAACACCAAAGTGGGATAAGGAAGCAAATGAAAGAAGAATGTGAAGCCACTCTAACCTTTCTTGGAATGTACAAATTTGTGGCTTCAAAAGTAGAAGTGTTCAATGATGACACAGAACAGTACAAAACTTTTGATCTAATTGATAAGGATCATATGCCACCATCAGGTTCTGATTCCAGTGACCTAACAGATGCTCAGGTTAATGACATGAAATACTGGATTTATATAAAAGACATTTAACATTTCCAACGCAGCATGCCATGAAATGGCAATGAAGTCTAAGTGAATCCCAAACACTTACTAGACAACCCAACAGATAAATTAAATGAATAAGAAATCTCCAGGAGAAACAGAAGGTATGCAAATCAGCTTCAAAGAGAGTCTTGAAGGGCAGATTTTTAACTTACAAGGAAAAGAAGATTTAGAAGGAGATATAATTAAACTCAAGATAAGTGGAGATGGTACATGCATTGGAAAGAGACTGAAACTAGTAAATATCACATACTCCATTCTAAACAAAAAAAAATGCAGTGAATGAAAAGGGCAATTATGTTCTTGCTATACTTAAGACAACTGAGAACTATGACAATCTCAAGGAAAGCCTGGCTGATCTAACAGAAGAAATGTCTAAATTAAATAAGGTAAAAGTAAGGGGTAAAAGCTATAACATCAAATAGTTTCTTGGTGGGGATTGGAAGTTCCCAACCTGTGTTTGTGGGTTAGGAGGAGCTAACCAAGAGTATGCATGCATTTGGTGCAAATGTCCTCATAACCAGAGGCATATCAAAAGGGTATGGTCACTTTCAAACAGTTCTCAGGGAGCTACATCATTGGAGGAAATTTCCAAATTTGCTAAATCAAAAAAGTTCAATTGCAAGGAAACCCCTTTATTCAATTTCATCTCACTTGATCATGTAATTATTGACACCCTACATTTATTTCTTTGTGTATCAGATAATTTGACTGAACTTTAAATAAAGGAAATAAGGAGAAAGGTTGTTTGTGAGAATGCCACATGTAATAATGGATTTTCATGAGAGAATTTTAAGCATGACTGGTTATGAAACCTTTCTAAAAAATCTGGGCATTTCTTTTGAATGGAGGATCCACAAAAACACCAAAAAAATTGGACTGTAGAGATCAAATGGGTCCTGAAATACTTAAGGTGATGTAAAATATTTAACTATCCTCACTTTTGCCAGGAAACAAGAAGTCAGAAAAGTTTCAGCTGCTATGGGATGGGTGCATGGAAATCATTGGAGATTAAAAAATTAATTGATTTTTTAACTAATGAATCAATCAATCAACTTGAAGAAAAAATAGGATGGTTTAAGATCTTCTCATCCTTGTACCAAGTTAAAGATGTGACAACATACATGCATGCCTTATACTTTCATGTTCCAGAGTTTTTGAAGTTGTGTAAAATTGTGGCATATTTTAATCAGCAGAGCATGGAGAAATATAATGTGGCTTCCAAAAATTACTTTAGATCTGCTAACCACAGAGGAATTACTGCTCTATGACAACTTCAAAAGAAATGTTGAATTCAATTTCTGGAAGCAACTGGGTATGAAAGAGTGAAACAGTTGTAGTAACTGTTCCAGTTCAGGTCATACAATGAAGACCTGCACCAAGCAATGCAAACATTGCAATAACCAAACTTGCTGCTCACACCTTATAAAATGGGACAGTAAGTGGGTGCCAAAATGTTGTACTAGGTCTTCACAGAGTTACCTAGATAATATTTAACACATTTTATCATCAGATGTTTCTAGTTACAATACAGTGTGTAGCAAAGTTTCAAAGCTACAGTTAATATTTCATTATATGAAATATAATGTATTACATGAGAACATTTTGGCTTTTACAGGACCAAATCAGAAAGTTCAGCCTGCTTTTTTTCAAAAGTTTGGCACTTGACGATAAATCTACCATGATTACAGCTGTTGATTAAAATTGTAATCTGCACAATGTTTTGAGAAAACAACAATGGATCAAGTATTTGAGACAACTTTTCTTGTCATTTTTCTCTCTGTAACTTGGATGGATGCAGCAAAGTCTTAAAATTGTTGTGTGGTGTGTGGAATGAAGTTATTTTCAAAAAGCGAAAGATTGTACAGACAACTTTGAGTCTTGTCTTGTAATTGTTTGGGCGATTGATGTAGATGATGTTATTTGTGAAGGATGTAAGAGGCCTGTCGAAGAGCACTAATAAATTGGATGGTATACTTTTATCATGTCATTGCTATCTCAAGTTGTTGTTGATCATTTGAAGTATTCACTTTCCTGTGAGTGTTTTTTAGAGCTCCAACTGTAAATTGTGAATTAAAGCAAGTACTGGTTTGGGCTTCCAGTTGTAAGATAAATAGTTAAATAAATCAGTTATTTCCCAATAAAAATCATCTTCATTTATCATTTCAACTGCACAACAATATCATATACACTCTTTGCAACCTTATTCTCCAACCTATTAAATTTCAAGAGTTGTATGACAATTCAGTGGTCTGAAAAGACTCTTATTACATGCCAAATAACAAAGAAACAGAAGGGCTCATAACAGTGAGGATAAAAAACAAAATATTTCCAAAAGCCTTTCTTTCCTGGGAACAGGACCAAATGAGGTCAGATTGAACTAATGTGGAGAGGTTTGTTGATCTCTTTATAAAAATGGATGATTTACATCAATCAGATTTTAGAGAAATGAGACTTAAGTCAAAGGGGACTTTTACATTGCATATTCTGCAGTTATGGGCATTGGCTTTGATGCCTATTTGAGGGAAATCTATAGTTTTCTAGCCAGGGGTTTGGCTGTGCCGATTTTATGGCAGACACATCAAGAAATTTTATAGCTCTCACTGGAAGCTCAAATGCTCTTAAGGAACATGACAATATTTCACCTGATCACTCCTTATATTCTTTTCCAATAAAATTTGGACAAACTTTCAAAAACTTTATTGGTAATTTTACAGTTGCAAATAAGGTATAGACACAAGTTGCAAGGAAAGAACAAAAGATTGATCATTTTATACCAGTAGTAAGCTTCTGGTACTAATTACATTCTCTTCAATACCAGCTAGGCACAGTACATGTCACACCTATCCATTCTGTCAATAGTACCAACTATATGTAGTGGGGTAACCATTCACATCTCCCTAAACAGCAGATAACATAAAAGTTAATTCCTATCATCAGTCTCGATTAAGGAATAAAAATTGAAGGATCACAACATTTCTGGCAAAGTGAAATGCAAGTCAAACTGGTTTGAAGACATTTTAAACGTGAAATACGTTGTTAAATATGACAGAAATACAATAGTTAACATTCTAAAGAAACAAGGAGTTCCTTGAGTTTTTATCCATTTGTTGTATCACTCGTCTCATATTTTAAGAACCACAAAAAAATATGGTGATAATTTTAATCTGCGAGTTTCATTGTACACTTCGACTCAAAATTCATTTCTTGTGGCAGAAGTATTCTACTGAAATAAACAAAACAGAATGAAGCTGACGCCATCCGTTTCGAATAACACATGAACATGATGAAAACGGCACCAGTTTAAACTCATGAGACAAAGCCCACACATTTTTTTTTTAAAGGTAAATGAATTGGTTAGACCGAAAGCTAAATAAATAAACAACAAACTGACAGTGGTGAGGGATTTAGGGGCCATGTGAAAAATAGGTACCACCGAAGTTTATCCTCTAGTCAGCCTATAACCGTTGTTAAGACACATGCCTACGTACCAAGTACAACAGACTTGGAGAGCAAAAAAGCCAAAGACAGTTGTGAGCTATGACTTGGAAAATCCATCTCAACCTCCCAAAAACGAATTCGCCGAAGGTTGTAGTAAGAGCGACTCGATCCTGAAGCTAGAACATTTTTTAAAGCCTTGTGTTCTATGTGACTACAAAGAGAAAGAAAAGACGATGTTATTCGATGTGATTTGGAGCTTGGGAGCCACCTCGAACTTAACGCAATTTTATTTCAAAGTTGAAGTAAAATAAGATCAAATTCTAAATTACCTTCTATTATCATAACGAATATCTCACAATCGTCTCCACATACAACTTCGTGATTCACAGAAGATATTAACATCTTAAGACTAACCTTCAAGGTTTGTAGTCTCATGTGCACATCTTGATCGTCAGTAAATCAAATCTCAAACTTCAAGTTTTCGGCCTTTTTTCGCTTTTTGCTCGCACTTTGATCATTAAAATATACTCATCCGAAGAGCCAGCAAACTCCACGAGTATCCACAGAGTTAGAAATAGTGGTAAACTTTTCATACTCTTTCATCCCTCTCAAAAAAGTATTACAAAAAGGTGTCGATCGCCCAGTTGAAAACCCGCGGAAGAGCGCTGAGAATATCAAAATGATGCCGAACGCGCCGAACAAATTTTATAGGCGCACACGCAGACAAAATGCCCCTCTGCTCGAGTTTTCAATATGGCGGACTGCAATCCCTTCCGATTGATACTCTATTACGCAAGCGCAGTACGTAAAGTGTACCAAGTATGTGGGGGTGCTCTGCCAAATTAATATGCATCCGATTTAATTTCGTAAGCTCGTAAGTTTTGAGTTTTTTTAACCTAAACGTGGATCAAAGAGCTTTCATGAGGAATCGAACCTCAGATCTTCGGACTCCGCGCTCCGATGCTCTACCAATGAGCCACAAAGATTCCACCGTGATCGAGGTCTATTACGAAATTGGAGAAGAAATATTACTGAAATTAAACTTCGATCAAAACGATTCTGTCACACACCGAGAAGAAGCCGGTCTCACCTTCCAAATAATCATGCTCAACAGCTTCAGGCGTATTCTGATCATTCTGCCTCATGATGAACTGATATAACCACAAAAAGAACGAGAGGCACAGCTTCATGATTCCCAATGAGCATCGAGATATCCTTCTAAAACCTTGACGAAGTATGACCATCATTCTTGGGGTAGAAGTTCGCTTCAAGTTCAGTCAGTTTCCGTGAATGCGTATGCAATATGTGTTGTCGTTGATTAAATTAATTTTTTTAATTGCTGGGGGTGTGTATGGGGTGTACCCCGGGTTCCAATAAATGCATTGCTGTAATAGGCCATTTACAGTTATAATAAAGTTCGGATATAACGCGCGCTGTCATTGGTTGAAAGAGCGTGCTCTACGAGAGTATAGAGCATAGAACTGAGCTAAAGCTGTCACGCCATCTGCCAAATTGTACCATGTTCGACCTTTTCCGGGACTTCTTTTTAGCTTTTTTCCGATAATTGAAAGTGAAATTTCGGAACAAGCGAGCCGGCAAGTAGTAACAGAAGAACCAAAGAAAGGTTTGTAAACATACCAGGCGCCGTTATTTACGTTATTAAAACGTGGGCAAATACGAAAATCCTCGAAGAAAACAAAATAGACATTCCGATAAAGATTTTCACGCTCAGTTAGATTGCAAGCTTACGTACGGTAATAAAAATCAAACACATCCAACACTCGTATAGTATATAAAGTTCAGAGTTCAAAAACAAAACAGAAATGATGAAAAATATAACCAAACTGGCATAACTGTTAAAATTCATACTAATCATGACGGTGTCTGAGCAAATATGATCATGCTGAAGTCCATCGCGGTTCACTTATCATGCCGCCCTTCGAGTGAAAAAATAAGAGCTCGCTCTGATATCCTTTCCAATGTGTTGAGTGAAAAGTCACTTCAGTCACTGCAGCCGAGTTTTGCGGCGCTGTCATCCCGAGCGATCTTCATGTTCCGGTGAATTCGGCTGTCGTTCATTTAAAAAACACTCGCCTTGAACAGTTTGTTTTCTACCTTGTCATGTGAAAAAACCCGCGTGTTTTTATGAGCCATAATTCGGCTGAAGTTCACTGAACATTTCACTTCAAGATTCTGAATTAAAAACTTCAGGCAAAAGACCTGCCGAATTATTTTAGTTTGTAAACTATCGCAGAGCGTGAACTTTGATGGTTTTTTAACTTTGGTGGTTTGACACTTTTCACAGCTTTTGTCTTGTACAGCCAATCACTCAAGAAGTGGGGAGAAACACTCGACTACGTCACGGATGGGATGCCAGTAATCGGATCCTTGCATTTGTGCAAAGAGTTCTGAGATCGCCATGGGCAAACATTGCAACTCGCTCTAAAGGACGTGTGGCGTAAGGTTCTTTTGACGTCCAAAAAAGCGATTTTTGCGAGAGATTATGGCTTTTTCGCCGCAGTTTTATTATACATGGATAAAGATATTTTGATTCGAGGGAAGGGTAAGTTTTTGTTGGAATTACCACGAAATATGTCATAAAAAACACCGAAACACGTTTCTCCTTGCGCAAGGGCTATTGAGAAATCATCATCGCGTAATGGTCTTGGAAAGTAAGCCAGGAATCGCTAGGAAATAACTCATTTAGGCCTTTTCAGTGGTATTTATATATGTACAGCCTGTTGTCATGCTTGTTAACGTATTTAATGAACAAATCATGACGTTTGAAAATATACCTCCTTTAAGAAGAGAAGTCGTTGTCCACGGAGATGGAAATTATTTTTACCGAGCTGCTGCTCTCTGAAAGGATGAAATAAGCGATGAAAAACAAGAGGAAATCCCTCGTTCAAGCGATACTTTGTTTGAGAAAAATCCAAAGGTCTCTGAGCCGCAACTTTTCTTCTCGAACTCCTTGAAGGATCTTGTCAGGAAAAGCAAGATCACGGGAATCCCGGCAGAAACTGTGGACATATCATCGGTTGTGCATCGCTCCTTAAGGGACCAATTTGTATCATTCATCGTCACAGAAGAAAGTATTCAGTTTTGAGCCGATTATTAATGCTGATTCGTTAGCATTCATCACAACAAAGAAGCAGTATAGATGATTCAGCACTTTAATGTACCGCAATAGTTAATGCACGCCATTTCAATCTCCTGCTGCCTCAAGTTAGCTCTTCTAGCGCCCTTTTGTATTACCAAGCCACGAAAAACGCTTGAAGTAGACTTAACACACGTACAAACAACTGGAACGGCTTAGTTGAGTTATTCCTTGGCGATTTATAGTTATGTTTTCAAAATGTCGAGACCATTACGCAACGTCAAATCCACAATAAATAAACCTTGCGCATGGAGACAAGTTAATCGGTAGATTTTACTACAAATTACATGGATTTTCAACCAAAACTTACGCCTCCCTTGTATCAGCGTTATCCAAATCCATTTCTGATAAAAGAGCGACGAAAAAGCGAAAATCTCTCGCTAAAATCGTTTTTTTGGACGTTGGAACAAACGTTCGCCACACATTTCCTTCTAGTGAGTTGCAATGTTTGCCCCGTGGCGATCCCAGAAATTTGTGCGTAAACACAAGGATCCGATTACTGGCAACTCTTATGAGAATATCGTTAAGATTTCCTCGCTCGAAGTTTGAGAATTTAATGGGCTATCCTTGATGCCTTTTGGGACACTTCGGATTGGTGAAAGATTAAGATTCTGGTTGCGTTTTCTAGTGCGAATTATTAGCGAAATTTTCTTCGATACGATGGAAAGCTTAGGAAGACGAAAATTTTATATTGCTTCGTGGCTTCCCTTATTGGTTTGGAGTGCTCTGTTGATCGAAGTTGTGCTTTTCTGTCAGAACTAGTGCAGTAAGGTAAAGTTTCGGTTGCATTTTATGCTAGTATTTTTGTTAAATTTAAATATTATAACCATTCTTCAAGGATCGCGTTTCAAGTTTAGGGCTCAATACTGTAGATTTCATGTGGCTGCATGATAAAGCGTAGGTCGAGTAACTACTAACCTGGATTCATTGAATCCTTCGGTGTCGAGGGCTGATTTTTTTTATTTTGCTCGGGACTTGCAAAACTAAATGCTACATAATTAAAAAACAGGACAGATCTCGGTGTTTCAATGACTAAAAATGTGTGATTTTCTTCCAGCCCCATAATAATTTTTATTATGTTACATGTAGCAATCTTGGTGTCTACACTGATGGCTATTATGGATACAGTGGAAGACATGTATTCATTGTAAATGTATGGGACCATGCAAATATTCAAACTCTGGCATGGTTGATGTCAAATATTGCATATCCTGGAAAGTTAACTCACAAACTGCTAACACATATGATGAAGATCTGGTCTCTTTTATAAAGGATAGGGTGCTCTCTCCCATGCTCTCCAGCAAGTAACAGTTGGGTTACAATGCATTAAATTGTTCTCTTTGCTCACTCAGAAGGGGACAGATTTGCAGCAAAATTACTCTTTACTTGATAATATGTGCTTTTCTATTTAAATCAGTGGCTGACATATGTCACTTTCTTTCTTTTGGTCTATTTAGAATAAAGCCTCTTGAACTAAATTATAAGGAATATGATAATAATATGAATGTTACATGTTACCACATTTTACATACTTTTTCAACTATGCATTACAAACATTAAAATGAAATAAATACTAATTCATGCACAAATGAATACTTAATTCAATACAGACCATTGCCTATTATTAGCAATTATTGCTTCTACATGTGTTAGCAAGAACTTGGTCTTGTTGGCATTAATTATGAGCATTTGGTGATCCATATATGAGTGGAGACACTCTCTGCAACTATCTTTGTGTAGAAAATACCAATCCTTTTACCCTTAATTTCATTCATACTGGAATGGATGAGAACCAGCTGCAAAGCAAAGTAAACAAAAGCACCCTTAAGGTGGTAAGCTCCATTGTAAACATTTTCTTGGCAAATTATGCACTGGTTATAAAAAGGTATATGTTTTGCTTAATTTTTGTCCTTGGTGTAAACATCATTTTCCTGTGGTTTTGTCGATAATATGAATGAAAAATGCATTTTGAGCCAAGAAAGATAAAATTTAGCTCTTAGCCTAAGTTTTGATGGGATGATATGTCACTATCAATTTGGCTTCTATTAAAACTAAAAGAATTAACTAAGGATAAAACTAAACCACAGCATACCTATACTAAACCACAGCATACCTATACTAAACCCTCATTTTATTTGTATCAATATTACTATTTTTTCTGGTGTTCACCCAATAGATTCAATCCACTTACAGACAAAGATGGCACCTGTACATTTTACCATTACTCTTAGGCTACGGCACATGTAGAAAGCAATATTTCACAAAACAACAACATTATAATATGCAAGGTTTAAATTTTTCAGACCTTTACAGCTTGTTTTTATGTGTGGTTCCAGGATTTTCTTGCGCAAAGAGTTCTAGTACCAGTAGCCATGTTTTTTGGTATGGTGGTTTACAGTAACTGTTGTATGAAGTAACCATCACCAATATTAATTTTGTAAACTTGTCACTGACAAAGAGCTAGTTAATGATTAGACATTGATCATTCCCTTGATTGCCATGCTCTACATTTATCATTGAAGTACGAATTAACTCCTTTGCCATCAGTAGTTGCATTAAAGATACTGTGTTAGAAATCACAGCACCGTACCCCAAAATCTAATGTTTTCCTTAGCACAGTTTCATTTTTTTAGCAAGGCAAAGTTAAAAATCAAACAAGACCACACTGACCTCCTCACAGAGACAACATTGCTATGTATAATGTTTATATAGTTAGTTACATAAAAGGTACTCTATTCAGTAATTCAGTGTCAATACTCTCCCTCATATCAGCTACAATTTTTAGCCAACTTGGGAAATAGTGGCCTAAAATGGACCCTTTTGGACATCCAAACTTTTAAATTTCCAAGGGAAGGGAATAAATGGCTGCCACACCGTCATTTTGGTCCCTCCCAGCTGCTTAAATGTTGTCCCTCCTTTCCACAATCTTACCAAAGCCCCCATATGTGTAGTAATAAAAACATTGAAGTGAAGTGTGCTATCTCAGCAAGAGATGATAATCATGCACACTTTTAAGTGAGTCATCCAAGGAGATGTTTGGTGAGGTATTACATTCTGTGCTCAAAATCTAGTTCACATAGATCTGGGAAAAAAGAATGGGGTGTAGCAGTCATTCAGGTCAGTTAATTGCTCCAAGCTTTAATTCAATACCACTGCTCATTTGGTTATCTTTCCTGCCAATACTCTTTCCAGTTATTTGGGTTTTCTTGGAAACTCTTCCCATTGAGAGGAAGCATGATATGTGTTTACAAATTAAAAGCAAAGAAAAGTTTGTTGTTTAGTCTTGTGATTTCTTGCTCTAAGAAGTGAGGTAAAATTGTTTGAATTTGTTTTTTCATTACAGCCACTTGAGTCTAAATGGAAAGAAAACACAGAAAAATGATGGTAAGGAACACATTGCTTGCACTATAAAGTATTGAAAGTAATTTGCAACTCTCCATATTTTTTATTTATAATTGACATGTTTTGCACAGGTGTTTTGTAATTAGTGGAGAAGTTAACTGTATTTCAAAAATTAAATCACTTTAAAGTGCAGTGAAAGCTATTTTATGGTTATAAAAGTATCAAAGGTAACCCTTCTGAGAACCTTCCTCAGTGTCTGTGTTATAGAGGTGTCCACTAAATACAGGTTAATTTATTAGGAAAAGTGGGAAGAATAGTATGCAACTGAAAATACGATTTTCGTCAAATTTCGCCGAAACATCCTTGGAATAATGTCAAAGGAAAATGTCTTGGGAAATTTTGATATTTGAAATATTTATCCCGTGGCTTCCATTTACGCAACATAACTCGCACATTTTTAGTTATTCCAACTTTAGATGCCGGTATCTAGACAACCAATCAGAATATCAAAAAAGCCTATTGCACTTTTGTTGACTGACGCCTTGTGAATAGGACTGCGCAGTCAATTAGCTCGTGCTGCAGCATCCCATACCCGATAAATTCAATAGAAGACCCTCTGGTTGTTTCACGCCTTACCGGATCCTGACACTTCCTTAAAAGAAAGTTGCTTGAAGTCTATTTTTATCGTAAATTAAATTTATGAAGCTTTCTTCTGATATATAGTTTGCTAGGATTTTAGTGAAAATAGCGCGAACGAATTTTTTTTTTCCCGAAGGACACCCGCGAAGGCCTTAAGCTTGTCTCATGCGATTAAGACGTACCGTATAAATCGGCCCTAACAACGAAAAATATACATGACTTTTATATATCGAAGTGAATACTCTGATGCACAGTGGCTTTAGCCACCGCGCATCCTCTTATGTTTTTCTTTATATATCTGGGAGCCGAGCAAACTGGTAACCACCCATATTCTCTCGTTCTCTTTAAAATAGGATTGTTGATCAATTTTCGCCGAGCTGGCTACCATGCCCTGAGATGGAGGACCACGTGGTGAGATAAACTAATTTTCTTCTCTGCTATCCTGAGAAGGTTTCTTATACTTTCAGAATAGAACAGAATTCTGGCTAACTTAATATCTCAACAGCATGTCATTAACATGGACTGGCTGGAACGAGAAATAGTTATGGAAGAGCAGCTGGAAAGAGGAAGAGAAGAACAAAGAGAAAGAGAGGAGCAAACGAGAAGAGAGGAACAAAGAAGGGGAGAAGAACGAATAAAGAGAGATGAACGAAGAAAAAGAGAAAGGGAATGGAAAGCGCAACAGGAGAGGGAAAAAAGGTTAGGAAGAAAAAGAGAGAGACGTCAAGAGATGAGAGGCGTGGAGTGGGAGAGAAGAAGAGTGGGTGTAGCGGCAAAGAAAGGGCCCGGGATGATAATGACAAGGGAAGAGATAAGAGAAGAGGTAAGTGTAAAACCAAGCATCAAGCAAGTGTTGACTGACTGTAAAACGTCCCATTTCAGTGGCATGTCTAACAAGTCACTCGGGGCTTCTTTCCAAGTGACTCTTAGATAATAAGATTACACACAGCACACGATTGTTGTGAATGTGAAGTGTTTTGTTTAATCTTATATATCTCGCTCAAATATCTAGAGGAAACACTTTGGTTGAAGGAGACAAATCTCACCGTTTTAATTTGATAATTATGGCAACATCAAAATCTTGTGAAAGATAGTAGGAGAAAACATTGTAGGAACGATCAAAATTCTAGTACAGGTATTTCATGAAGATGAATAATAAAATGTATACACGACTGTTGGTGTGTCTGGTGCCAAAAGATTCCTTTTTGTCTAACCTTGACCCAAAAGGTGTTACCGTTTGAGTCTGAGGTGAGGTTAGATGATGCTCACTTGAGGCAAGACTTTTAATTGGGACTTTGTTTTTTTCCTCTACTCAGAGAGATTAAAGTTCGAGGACATTTACCTGGAAAACTTCCCATCCCTATTATTTGGACTGCAACAACATTGTGCTTGTCTGTAATTTTCTCTTTTATATTTTTATTCTAGTTCGTTGTCACAAGTGTAGAGGGTTTGGCCACATACGTGCCCAATACCCGACGAGACGCGGCCCGGTTGTGCCTCACCATCAGCAAGAAAAGCAACCGGCAGATCAAGCAAAGGAAGCGATAGTGAATAACTATCATTTTTACGTCTCTCTTGACAACGTAAGTTTTCACTAATAAGTTTAGTGAGCTATCTTACATTGTCAAGAGGTTTATTTTATTCTCTAATATTAATAATCTATTTTTAAAAAACGTACACGTGAAAGCCACGCACAAACAAAATTATTTTTCCGACACATACCCCTACTTGAGTTATCTCTTTTAAAATTTTAAACCTATATATCTATGTCACTCGATAATTCCTCTTTTTTTCGAATACGAGACATCATGATCTCTTGGAAAATTACTTTATTAGCGTTATAAATTTAATGTATTTTGTTTCTTTTTTATTATTAAGTGAGCTTAATGATCTTGTTTAGGACAGCCATAGTAGTACGTCAATGTGATCGGAAGACATTAAATATTTGGAAGAGAAACTTAAAACTTGTCTTTTGCTTACATAGATTTTTCTTTTGTTAAGCCCTACTAAGTGACTCTTGATGTCATGTCAAGTTCTCCTTTAGTTCCACAAGTAAACAGACAGCACGTTGGAATGAGATGATAGTAGTTCATCGCAAGTCACCAAGGGCTTCTTTTGCACTCGACCCTTCAATTATTCTGTTACAATGTTTTATCTTGCGGTGAATAGTACTCGTGGGCCTCTACGTAGATGTTCACTTTGCTTGTCAAGTAAAGATAAATCAGTAGTTTACTGTCAATATATGCACATGCATCTGTATATACAGCGATTTCTGGGAAAATTTCTCATTGCCTGAAAACATTTTTAGCGCTAACTTAAGTTAAATTCCAAGGGTGTGAGGAACATGCAGACCCTTCTCAACGATCAGAACATCACAGAGGTGAAACATAACACCAAAACTTACAGACTGATAAATATTTTATGGGGAAGGCTACATTCTCTTTTCCAGCAAAATAATCTCAGACTCAGTGATATTTGTCGAGTAATCCCCAGGCTTTATGCAGGGGATTCTACAATGTACCGGCTAAAATTATTGACTTCACCCGAGGGTTACCTTCCGACACCTACCCCCAACCCAAAATTCTTTTACGCGAATAAAGGGTTTCAATTCCAGCGATCTAACTTACAACTGCAGTATATCTGTTCATCCCTGTTTCCATGTTTTGAGTGTATTCGAAAATCAACACAATTTCACAGCTCGTACCCTGCACGTACAATACATCCCAACTTTACATATCCAATATTAACCCTATTTTCCATTTTTCATTGAATGTAGAAATTCTCGAGAAACGAAATAAATTCTGACAATTTATTCAGCAAGTAGAATATATCCTAACATGCCAAATCCAATCTTCACCTCAATTTCCCATTTTCTCAACTCTAGAAACTCGGGGTAAATTGTGACAATTCATCCTATTAGAGGATAATATCATAACTTATCCATATCCAATCTTTACCCCGATTTGTTTAATTAACTCTAGAAAAACGGGGTAAATCGTGACGATTCGAGTGGTAAATATCATGGCTTGCAATGTCCAATCTTTACCCTGATTTACCATCTGTTCAACGAATTCTAGATAAAACGGGATAAGTTCTATCAATTCATCACACAAGTGGAATATAACCTTAGTTGTGATGTCAAATCTTTCCCCCGATTTTCCTTTGTTTTAATGAATTATGCTCAACAGCCTCACGCTCATCCTTTTTATTCCACATCATGATTAATTGATATAACCACAAGAAGAACGAGAGGCACAACTTCACGATTCCCAATGAGCATCGAGATATCCTTTTAAGACCTTGACGAATTATGATCATTCTTGCCGGCGAGCCAGAGTTCGGAGGAAGGTTTCTGTCGTTTTCCTCTTCAAGTTCAGTTGGTGTATTTTGTAGAAGGCCCAGGAATGCAAATTTGCCTCCGAGCAAAAAATGTTACACGCTACAAGTGTTGTGATCGACAAAAGGGAACACTTGGAAGATCATTTGGAAGATATTTAATAAATAATTGATAACTTTGCATCTCGTACCGTGTTGGATAACCGCGTTTCCGGTCTGCACAATGTTACACCTCATGCGTGAAACCTTTTCATGCGGTTTGCTGCTCCGATTCACTCTATTTCAAACTGCGTCCAGCTGAGCATGAAAGTTCTACAGCTTAAGTTATGCCACTATACAAACGAGACCATCAAACGAAAAGGGAAATCAACCGATTTGCAAAAACAGTGTTAATAATAATTCGTCAAAATTAAGGTTTATTAAACTACTGAAACCCACTTCAATCAGTGAGAAAACCATTAAATCAATTTTTTTTTTTGCGATGTTGACCTTCCATTGTTTACCGTGGGTGATAACTTTGAGTTGCAATTAATTCTTACACTTTTTTTTCAATCATTCAGTATCAGCTTTCGTGTATTACTCGTTAGCTAAGGACTTGTCAGAAACAAAACTCCTCGCAAAATGGCTCTTAATCGAAGGTTCCTTGGATCCTCTATCGCTACTTGCCACGACTGATACTAATTATGTGCAAACAAAATAAGCGATCAGTCCTACGAAATGAATAGTTTTAGTTTTATTTTTCTACAGCAAAACTTATGGTATTTTCCAATTGCTATTTGCGCTAGGAAATGAAAAGACTACCATGACAGATTTCACCAAAATTAAACCAAGCATTAAACCAAAAGGCGGCCTGGTGGCTGGGTGGTCTGTGCTGTGTTCTTTTTTTGTTTTGTTTTTCTCAGTTTTCCATCTAAATAATCTACTTCTTTGACGTCGAAATGTTCACAATCATCTTATTATTATAGTTCCAGTTTCGTTATCACCATGTTGGAAAATAGAGTGTGGGACACTTTTTATGATTTAGTATGGATTACAAAATGCTTATGGCTTACATTTGTTAAACAACATGATAGTTAGTTAGAGAACATTAAACTTCTTCAGTTTGTTACAAAATATGAAATGTTTTCTATTATATTTCTATGATATGAAATTATTGCAGTTATGATTTCCACAAATCAAGTCTTTAAACATCTTGGCTGGTCCACTTTGGAGTTTACATCTTCTTTCCCTAAACAAGACCGTATTTTGCTGCATCCTCTGAGCAAGGAACTGGGGGTTTGACTGACGAGATAAAGGAAAAAGAACACATATTATTTCACAACTGGTATAAAAGTTTAATGAAAGAAATATAAAAAACAACAACAACAAAACATATATATATATTCTAACGACTGTAGCTGTTAATCAGCCGTCCGTATGCATATCAAACTCACTGTAAACAAAAACCTATATCAAGTCTCGGAGACCACGCCCCTACCACTGTCTGACTCAAAACTACAAAACTTGGAACGTTATTTCGATTACTGAGAGACGCTTTGGTAGTGATTAATTTTAACAACGAAATTTTAAAGACAAATATTAAAGTTACTTTAATTAAATTAAATATTAAAGCTGCGTTAGAAGTTATTTTGAAATACTAAAGCTTTAGGATTTAATGGATCAAAATTCATTTTTAAAATTACGATTACCGTATTTATTCGATTAAACGCCGCGGCGTTTATCAAATTTGTTTATTAAATTTCGTGATTCGAGTGCGGTGTTTATTCGAGGGCGGCGATTATTTAAAATCCAATTTATTTCTTGCTAACAATTGTATGGCAACTGACTATCTGAATTAAATAAAAAAAATTTAAAAAAAAAAACATGTTTTAGTGCCAGTCTAAAAAGTCACTTTTTATATCGTTTTCAATTTCACAATTGGCATGTTCATACTACTGCAATATATAAAGTGAATAAGGATCTAATGTCGGATATTCTTTCTCGACATCAGAACTAGTACATTCAAAAAGATTTGTCTGGCTCACTAAAAATTTCCAACTACGATCGAAGCATTGCTCGCTGTGTGCTTTTTGAATTTATTATTCGAACAAACGCCGCATCATTATGCAGCCTTTGTTAATATTTCTGCTCTAAAATGCGGCGTTTACTCGAAGGCGGCGTTGATTCGAGGGCGGCGTTTAATCGAGTAATTACAGTGGTAATTTTGGAAAGCGTTCACAGTGTCGTATCACGATTTGCGCGTAAGAATGGGTCCTAGCTCTTTTGCGCACGCCCGAAGCTCAATGTTACCGCCACATTCGAATGGAGCTAGAAATTTCCTATGCTTTGGTTAGCTTGTCTGGGTTGCGACCGATTTAGATAAGTCAAATGGCCGCTCAAGTTCGAGTGCTCTCACAAGATTTACTTCTGGTCTTCTGCAGATCCGTAAAAGTCGTGGGAGAAGGATCAGAGGGTCCAAAAACAAGATTTTCCGGCCATTCGTTACCTTCGTATTAACAAGTAGGTTGTCTTTTAAATAATTTAAGCGATGTGATTCTTTTTCCTTTTGTCCTAAGAGAAACGGAATTTCGTATAATACAAAAATTTTGTTGCTAGTAAGTCTCGAATATGTCTGATGCCGGTCGTTTTCGGCTATCTTCTCTACACAATTGCCAAAGAGAATGGAGAGGGAAGTGGCGAATCTTCTTTCGCTGCAGTTGAGGAGAAAATCATGCAACAAACGGGTATTTGAGGCATCCTCGTCAACAATCGAATACCAAATGTCTTAAGGAAAAAGATTGGGACCATGTGTGCTTAGCTAAAGCGAACAAAGAAGAAAAGTGGAGGTTTCGGTGTTAAGAGGCTCACTGATAAGTGGCGTGACCGTACTTACTCCGTCAAGTTATTTTATTACAAGCTTGATAATTATTTTATTGAAAAGGAAAATTAAGATTTAAGACAGGAGAAACGAACGCCAGAAGAATCTTTGAAGAATGAAATTACCAAGCGACAAAAACTTGAGGAAAAGCTCGACGACACAGAGGGAAGCTACAAAGTATCACAAAAAGAGATTCCAAAGACTAGTTTGCAAAATTGCAGAGATGAGTAAGAGAGGTGTAATGGGCCCAGAGAAAAGACCCTTTAATGAGCACTCCAAGTAACTCCAAAATGGGATAAGAAAGCAAATGAAATAAGAATGTGAAGCCACTCTAACCTTTCTTGGAATGTACAAATTTGTGGCTTCAAAAGTAGAAGTGTTCAATGATGACACAGAACAGTACAAAACTTTTGATCTAATTGATAAGGATCATATGCCACCATCAGGTTCTGATTACAGTGACTTAACAGATGCTCAGGTCAATGACATGAAATACTGGATTTATATAAAAGACAAATTTAACATTTCCAATGAAGCATGCCATAAAATGGCAAGGAAGTCTGAGTTTATCCCAAACACTTACTAGACAACCCAGTGGATATTAATACAATGAAATCTCCAGAAGAAGCAGAAGGTATGCAAATCAGCTTCAGAGAGAGTCTTGAAGGGCAGATTCTTAACTTACAAGGTAAAGAAGATTTAGAAGGAGATATAATTAAACTTAAGATAAG